TTAATGTCCGTCTGGTAGATTATTTAAAAACATTAGACACGTATTTTTTATTTTCTTACGGAAACGAATAGTTTCGAAGATATATTGATTTGAAATGTCGCGTGACGTCACTTCTCAGTACATTTTATACTAAGAAATGACGTTTTAGCCCCCACTCCTAAACTTTGATTCGTTTTATCTAAGTATTGTTTTATTATACAACAAAATAAAAAAATACGTGTCTAATATTTTTTTATTACCTAAGTTACGGACTAATTATATTTTTAATTTTCATACCCTGTCATCATCCCCATTATTACATTAGGTCCTACCCACTTGCGTACGTCGAAGGATAACGCTTGGATTATCATTATAGTAATTGTAAAGGCATCGACCTACTGTCTAGTGTCTACCTTTAAGCTTTATTACTAAATGTTATTTTTATTTACAAACTCAGGTCAAGAAAACGGCAAAGTCGGGTGTCGTACTGCGTGTAGCTAACGAACAACAAATTAAGAAGCTCGAGTCCGTGTCTGCGATTCGTTCCGCCGGTTTGCGCTTGGAAAAGCCAAAGGGCCGTAGACCGCGTATCTTGGTCAAAGACGTCCCGGGTTCGATGGAGGACAATGCGTTTTTGACCTCATTATATCGGCAAAATATTAACGGCGAACTCAAAATCGAAGAGGAGGATTTTATCAAGTCATGTAAAATTACCCGCCGACGAACTTTGCAAAACGGTCGTAAATGGATCGGTATTGAGATCGATACTAGCGTGCGGAAGCATCTCGTGTCAACTAAGGAGAAGTTGTTTATTGATTGGGCTACCTGCCGTTTTATCGATGACGTCGAGGTAGTCAGGTGCCATCAGTGTCAGCAGTTCGGACACGTGAGAAAGCATTGTGTTGCAAAAACACCTACTTGCGGCAATTGCGCCGAAGCGCACGAGAGCGACAACTGCCCTCATATAAAGGAAACAAATTTTATTCCTACTTGTGTGGCGTGTAAACGTTTTAAGAAACCTCATGATCACCGTTGTGGCTCGCCAGAGTGTGGAACCTATAAAATAAAACTTGAACAACTTATTCTCAATACAACGTATTAAATAAAGTATGGATAAGTTAACCATAGGGCAGTTGAATCTCCATAACGATAGGGTTGCGACGTCTGAGTTAGATAAATTAGTTGTCGATTATCAACTTGACATAGTTCTTATTCAAGAACAATATCAAAATACCCACTTACGGCACAGGGTAGTGCAGCTGGATGGCAGGTCGCGGGCTGGAATTTATGTCACGAGATCACCTAATTTCACAGTAACATCCATAGCTAATTTAATGACGTCACACTGTGCCGTCGCGGAGATTGCTTCGGGAAATTGTAAACTTTACGTTGTGAGCTGTTACTTTCAATATTCTGATTCAGTTACTCCTCATATTCACCACCTCCGTCACGTCTTGCAATCACTTGCGGGCTCCAAAATTATCATTGGTGCCGACGTTAACGCGTCTTCATCCTTGTGGTATGGCAAGGTTAGGGCTACTGACATGGAACGGCGCTGTGCTGTTGAGGAATTCATTGCTGAAATGAATCTCTCCATTCATAACACCCCTGATGCACCACCTACTTTTTGCAGCCAAATGGGCGAATCTTGTATTGACGTCACACTTTCTAGTGCGGACGTTAGCTTGGATAGGTGGCGTGTCCTACCAGATGCGTCGTGTAGTGATCATCGCCTGATCGTGTACGAATTTGTTTCAACATTACCCCAGGGTCCAACATATTGCAATGATAGCTTTAGGTACAAGACTAAGGGTGCGGATTGGAACTTTTTTAGTTCATTATTTGCATCCCAAGCCAGAGACTTCACTCGCAGAGATCTCTCGGCCGAGGAGGGCGCTGAAATCATGTCAGATGCCTTTACTTACTGTGCCGACGTTGCTTTTGGTCGCGGGTCCGTGACTAGTACGCGTAGATGCGACTGGTGGAATAACTATCTAGTCGAACAACGTAAATGCTTTCGTAAAGCGCGCAAACAGTTAAATAGACTAAAGAAACGTCAGGTAACCGGTACCGTTTTTGATGAAGCGCTGATTGCGTTTAGAGTTGCCAGGTCACGTTATAGGGCTTCGGTGGAGAAAGCCAAGGGTGATTTGCTACGGAGGGTTGTACAGAAATTAGATAAGGAGGGCCCGTGGTCGCCTCTATACCATGAGTTCAAAGCCAATAGATCCGTCGATCTGGCATTCGTACAGAACATAAAAGTCAACAATGTTCACACCACTGGTATTGAGGAGACAACGGAAGTTCTACTCGACGAACTTGTCCCTGACGATGTGCTCGAGACAGACAATGATTACCATCAACAGATTAGGTCGTGGGCAGCTATACCGCCGGAGTCACCAGTGTCTGATCTACCGTCCATCAACGAGCTCGTAACTATTGTTAAAACTTTGCCTTTAAATAAATCATCTGGTGAAGACAAAGTCTCAAATAAAATGATAATAGAAGCATGTAAATCCGCGGCTGATGCGATCCTAACTGTGTTCAACCGTTGTATCGCGGAAGGCGTATTTCCTCGTGTATGGCGACGTGGATTCATTCGCATAATCCCCAAGAATGGAAATAAACCCCCCGATGACCCTAAGTCATACCGGCCTATCACGCTTTTGCCATCTTTAGGGAAACTACTTGAGCGACTTATCGTTCCTCGTTTACTGCCAGGTGGACCAAAATTCCACAACAATCAATTTGGTTTCACTGTAGGAAAGTCTACTGTCGACGCGGCTCTTTCTGTCCGATCCATGGTAAATTCGTCTGAACACAAGTATATAGTAGGCATTTTTCTGGACATTTCCGGTGCCTTTGATAACGCATGGTGGCCAATGTTACTCTTAAAACTGAAAGGTCGTGGCTGTTTTAGTAACATATATAAATTAATATACACGTATTTCCTTCACGGTTCCGTTAAACTGAAGCTTGGTCATTGTTCTCGGTCGAAGTCTTTATCAATGGGATGTCCTCAGGGCTCGGTTATCGGTCCGTATTTATGGAATTTAGGATTTGATGATTTGCTCGCGATTCCCCTTCCTTGTGGCTGTACTTTGACTGGATATGCGGATGATGGCCTTTTGCTAGTACAGTCAAATACCCGCGCCGGACTGGAGAATTTGGCTAAAGACTGTCTCAGTAGGATCTCGCGATGGGGCGAACGAAATCGCTTAACTTTTGCACCCCATAAAACTTACCAGCTATTGCTTAAAGGAAATCTAAAGTCGTGGCCGTCTATTAAATTTAACAACGTTTCCGTAAAACGAAAGGAGTCGGTTTGCTATCTCGGTCTAGTTTTGGAAAAAAACTTTTCTTTCATTGAGCATATTAAGGCTATTAGTGAGAAAGCCAAAAAAAACTTCTATGCGCTGACGCGAATTTCAAAAGCCACCTGGGGTCTCTCTTTTCTTACGCTCAGGATCATATACGGAGCAACCTACCTGGGATGCGTGTGCTACGGGGCACCTGTCTGGGCTGATAGGGCCACAATAGGCGCGGTACGGCGAAAACTTCTTCAAGGCCAGCGTCTAGCCTTGATTTTCCTGTGTAAGGCTTATAGGACGGTTAGCACTGAAGCCCTACCTGTGCTCGCGGGCGTACTTCCGGTAGATCTTGAGGTGCAGCGACGTGCTGCTATGTACTACAGTGCGAGACCTAATTTGTCAGCTAGCTTTCTGGCAGAACGTGATAGAAATAAAATTGCAAGATTGTTTAAGCCAATAACGGACGTTTGGGATGAGCTTATAACTGAATGGCAGGGTAGATGGGCATCTTCTATTAAGGGCCGCCACCTGTATCAGTTCTTTCCATCCGTGCATGAGCGGCTGGAGAGGACATGGTTGGAGGTGGATCACTGTGTTGCCCAATTTCTTACTGGCCACGGCAACTTTAAAGGCAAATTGTTCTCATTTAAACTTATTGATTCACCATGGTGCCAATGTTCGACAGAGGAGTTGCGATACGAGCAGTCGGCCCATCACATACTCTGGGAGTGTGATCTCTGGCAATATGAACGTAACACTATGTTAAATAATTTAATTGTTTCGTCAGGTGTAGCTTATTATACGGACCTTGTGGAATCTAGAACGAATTTCCGTGCGTTTAGGCGTTTTTGCCATACCTATTATTGGAAGCAAGTATAACAGCTCACACATAGGACCCACTTAGTTTTTAGTCAAATTTCCGTGGTGCTTGGCGACTGGGCTTCACCCAGTTGTACAGTCTCTTCTTTGTGCCTTTAGGCTTAATTCATTCTGTCTCCTGCAGTAATTCACCGAGGGAAGTGAAAACCATAGTTTTTCTTCTTCTCCTCTTATAATATCTTCTGATTCACTTCGTTGCGGGAACCAAGACAGTTACTCATGTCCCTGGGACGCGCCGGACTTCAGTGTTCCGGTGTTTTCATGGTTGTATCTACTGTAGATCCTGGCTTACAGGAGTTGCAGCGGTTTTGGGAGGTTGTGGGGGGCTTGTCCCAAAAAAAAAAAAAAAAAAAAACTCAGGCGTAACAGACGTAGTTAATATCATAAATATTTATGACGTGTTGCATTTGCATCGTTAGTCGAGTGGTCGTTAGTGCGACAAGTGACCAACCGACTAAGAAATCTCGGGTTTAACTCCTGAGTCAGACAAAGTATTATAGGAGCTTTTTCATTATTAAACAATATTAGAAGTCGCAGAGACTAGAATTGAACATGGCCACCTGTGCCTTTAGCCAAACGCCACTTTAGCGCTTGTCTACAGAGAGAGTAGAAAACTAAATGTATGGGGATGACACTGACAAGTGTCAAAATTTACGTCAATTCCGTAACATTTGATTTTATAGTCTACAAGTAGACAAGCTCTAAATGGCATTTGGCTACAGCTGCTGTATAGCAATAGATTCAATCAACCCTTAATATATTCATGAATGCACCTTCGCATTCTTCTAACCTAGGCGGGCCTTAAAAAATGACGATATGTTTATGTATATTTATTTACGATCACATATTCATATTGATGTACTTATTGTATTTAACTCTGATTATGACCATTAAGTGATATGAACTTTCGACCTCGCTTCAGACAATTAGTTAAAGAGGATATTGAATTGAAACTGTCTCATAGATAAAAGACATCTTTAATAATAATATCAGATCATAAGCAATGACATCAGTACGTATAATATCATTCGGCAAATACTTTTCAAGCAGTCTCACACTTTCTTTCCAGATCTGAAACAAAGAAATAATTATGTTAAAGTATGTTCATCCTTCAGAGACCGGGTGGTAGTGCTCTTTAATATATCTTGATTTTTAATGCGATTTCCAACTGACTTGATCAAGATAATGACAAACCATCTCTTGTAGAAGTTGTAGAAGAGGTATTTATGTATGTGTTTATATTAAAAGGTCAACGATGTTTTATTTTGATCATCCTTAACCTGCGCCCGTACTCGCCAGGCTTGGCAGTTGGATTGCCGAGCGCATCTTTTATTTTGTTTCGCACGTCAAGGTATGAACAAAAGCAAGGTGGACAGACAACCTAATAAAGGTTGCAAGGAGCTGCTAGCTGCAAGTCACTTCTAACTGGTCGAATATTTTGTTTGTACTAAATCAATTGAAGTACTTATGCGCAATGGGTACAGTTTAATCTTCAAACCATAGAAGAGATGTTCATTCATACCTGGCTACCTGTTCTTTAATATGGAATCGTTATCAATCTACAAATCCATATTCAGATATGAAATATTTGATATAATCTACCCGTTAAAAAATATCGAATACCTACTAACGTCCCTATGGACTCGATACTCTCAGACTAATAATACCTGTTATCTGCATGACCCTTAGAGTCACGAGTATAAATGTGTGATCACATAAATATTAAGGCAAGAAACAGACTCGTCACTACGCCACTCTACTCGTGTCTAGCTCTTTGTTTTTAGTATAAGTACCAATCTAGATGAAATGTCAGTTTAAAATATTGTTTACATAACAACAGTTTGCTTTCTCCTATTATAGGCTTTAAACGTGCTAACAAATGCTATTTTAATGGATTACTGTTATCAGCAACTGAGGGCAATGAGTCGAATAATATTATGGTCGTGTTTACTAAATCTGAAATGAGTTAGTACTTATTTATAGTCTAAAATTTAGGTTACCAAGCACAAGGGCGCCAGGATTTTAAAATTTAAATGTTTTCGTGGTTGTATTTTTTTTAATATGGGTGTCATTTGTTATCTGTCATATATTTATGTTTTCTTCTTATAAATTTTCTCTGATATTTTGGAAAATGGCTAAGTTTAGATACCTATAATGTTTCTACTAATATAACCAACCATTTTTACCAATACATCAAGTAGAAGTAGAATAAACTTAAACAGAAACGCAATAGAACCTAATGATTCACACAATTTACGTTTGTTTACCCTACCAAATCCGGTTCATAGTAAGTGTTCTTCTATGAGAAATCCCCAGATAAGTGGTAAATAATCTTTTCTATCTTTACACGAAGAACAACATCGTATTTGGATTGAACTGCTTGGTCAGGCCAAGTTTATCATACTTGCTCCGTAAACACTGCGTTTTATATAAGTCTAAGTACATATTCCTGTTTAAACTAGTCCTATCGATCAAAACATGAGCGAAAACATCGCTGTTTATCTCGAATATCTAGGGGCGAGGTAATAGCATCATTATTTTATTAACATGATTGCATTATATAAACATATGACAGGAAAAAATTGTAATCTTAAATGGTGGAAATCGAGGCTTTAATTAAGCAAAAGCTGTGCAGACGATAAGGACCACAATACATACTTAGCTGTCAAAATAATGAAACAACTTCTAAAACACGCAACATTGTATTATAGTGGGAGGATAGCAGTTGCTGAGCGAACTGTGTAGGTAAAGATATAGTAGTTATGAGCAATCAATGTAAGTGTGATTCCTAATGATGATGAATCATTAGCACCTCTCAGGGCAATAAATTGGAACTGCAGTTTCTTGATTAATAGCCTACTAGATAATGTAAAACTGTCTACAACACTAGCGCCATCTACTGAGCGCAAAAACAGTCAAAACAGTAAAAGTAAATACTTACAATTGTTTATAGTTATAACTTAGTATGTCCACACTTATGTAGTATCTCAGGTAAACTATGAGTGCGAGCGTCATCAGTATAGCGGTAATCTGCAACGTCCACTCGCGTGGCATGCCGCATTTAGACACCTTCACCTCTTCTGGTGATATCGTCAACTGAAAAAATATGAATAAGAATATACTACACTGCTAATCTAGCAACTGTTGTCTCGGGTTTATTTCCCAATTCGATTCACGTTAAAAAGCAATGTAAAGATTTGATATTATGGTGACTCATCTTCACAGATAGGATAGTTAATTCCTTATTACAATCATCTCAATCAATACCACATTAAAAACAAAATAAGTAATTTAACACACTTACCAAATAATACTTGGGGTCCAATCTATTTCTCCAGGAAAAGGACGGTACAGTGTACTCAATAAATTCTATCTTATGATCGGGGGTAGGCACGAAGCTATGTCTTACGACACAACTGTGGTGCGTGTGAGCTCCGAAGGCGGCTCGAGGATGGAGACTCTCTACTAGATATTCTGTGGACTCTTTGGAGAGACAGTCCCAACGCTCTTCGAACAAACCATTCCTTTCAGGCAATGGGGCCGCGTCCGGCTCCGTACATACGCTATCCGATTCTCTGTACAAAGGATAGTGCTGAAAAGGATATTTTTATTTTATTTTAAAGCTTCATGCACAAAATGTACATAAGGTGGACTTAATGCCGCAGGAATTTTCTCCCAGTCTGATCTTTGGGTGATGCAGAGAAGAGTTAATGGTGTGAGCAAGAAGCAAGCAACTATTTAGGATACATTAATTTTTAAATATTCGATCTTTCTTTCTTTTTATTCTTTCACTGCAGCTGTACATCCTAAGTCAATCAATGTTCGACTATATTACAAAGGTATAAAGTCCCCAGTCTCACCAATCCTCGAATCCCCCACAATCCTCAAATTCCTAATTTCTAAAAGGCCGGTAACGCACTTGTAACGCCGCCCGGTGTTTCGGGTGTCCATGGACGGCGCCGATTGCTTACCATCAGGTGATCCGTGTGCTCGCTTACCAGCTTATACCATAAAAAAATTGAATATCTGACGAAAATAAGCTAAGTACATTGTAAAAGCTTACCTGCATAATAATTGGTCTGCTATAACGTTCTAATCGCTTTTTGCCCTTACATAAACTAGATCCACTGCTGCATTTTAATATATCTGTTGACAGAGGCATAACTTTTCAATTTTTTTATGAGTACTTTTTGCAAAATAATAATAAGAAATAACAATGTAACAATTCTCTAGAAACATTGCGTGAAATAAACTCACTTGATATATTGGCTATTTCGGCAACGGTACGCGCGCACAGACTACATCCATCTCCTTCCATCGCCATTGAGTTGATAAGGACGAAGTGATTCCCGCTGATGCTAACTAATTGTACTGGAGGTGACTTTAGCTTACTTTCGAACCTTTTGGCGAGGTGCGGCGTTATCCTTTGAACATACTAAACTTAATTTAATAAATAGACAAAATGGCTAACAGGTGGGTGTTTCTTCAAAATACTTTAACTTTTATTTAACAAATCATTCTCTTCTCGCGTTGTCAGTATCGCAGTAACTTAATAGCATCTGTATTTTATTGCATTGGGTGAGAGCAGTGACATGGCTCAATTTTTTGAAACTAAACTTTGTAAAATACAAAGTTTAGTTCATCAGCAAAATTGTTAACTGTGGCTTAAGGATAATGACGCCGTTAATTTTTTGTTTTTTTTTGGAGAAAACAGTTGTAGGTATATTTAAAAATAATGATTTCTTTTATCTCTACTCTCATAGAGATGAAATTAGTTCCTTATAGATATCTAAACACAACATGTATGAAAAAACAAATTGTGGTGTTGAATCATGAATTCATTATTTTATAAAAGTAATACCTATGTACTCTCAAGTATGACTGCAGATATTGCAAATAGTAAAAATAAATTTAATTTAAATTCTTGAATTGTACTTAATTGCTTAAATGGGAGTTTGGTGTATGTATTAACAGAAATGACAGTACCTACGAAAAACATCACTTTTAATTGGTCCAGCAATTCTGACTTCTCTCGCAAGCTTCTTACTTTAAACATGAATTAATCAATATCCATTAACTATTCTTAATTAATTATTAATGTAGGGGATCAAAATTGTGTATAAGATCTAACACACACACAAATAAGAGCAGATACAGTATATAAAATAAAATAAATGAAATAATCAAAATAGTAGTAATAATAAAAATAATAAGTTCTTCAGAAATGAGGTCTAACCTGTAGTGGAATCCTATATCATGGTTTCCAACAACTGTATACATTGCAGTCCCATCAGGAACTTTAAATAATTTATAAAATCTATCAACATAATCATTGAACTCCTTTTCTGGACACCATTTTCCCTCATCAAACAGATCACCTGGAATTCAGATAATTGCAAAATTATCATAATATTTTATCCAAAATCAGACAATCATTAAAAAATTCACCCTTTAACTAAATTTTAAAATTGTAAATTTTATAAAGAATAGTAAATGGACATATGTCTAAGAATATTGTTTCATGTGTATACATATGCAATTAAATCTATACATATTGCACTCAAGCATTTACATAAACCAATTAAATGAACATGTACCTAAAACAAATACAACATTTGGGCTATGGAGCGTCATAGCTGTCTGAAATGCTCGATGCATCTGCCACTCTCTCCGCCATTTGTCAAACCAGTGTCCATTCCGGGAACCTAGGAGATGAGTGTCAGCTATAACCATAGCATACACTGGCTCAGGACCATCGTTAGGTTCCTTACTTAACATTATCCAGCCACACTGAAAACATGTTTTCGTAATGTGAATTTGCTTGTCTCTTTTTTTGTACCTGTATTAAATTTCAGACACATGTAAATTCTTAAATGAACGAATATTTAAATGAAACTCATTTACAGAGAAGTTTTAATATACAGCTACTCTCACGTTTTACGCGCATAACATTCATTCTATGAATGAAACTTACCTGAATTTGAGTAACATAATAAATTAAATATTCGCAATAAACGTAAATTAAAACTAGACCGATAAATAGACGCGGTATTATATGAGTAAAGCTTCGACGCAATTTTCGCACCAAGAATGCCATTATTCCACAAACAAACTTCTATGAAAAATAACAAATGAGTCCTTCTATCATTTCTATTACAAGCTAAACCAATAAGTAGTAATATTCATTCATTTTATTTAAAATATAACAATTACAGTTAGTATCAACCAGAAATTCAAATTCAAAACATTTACGCTGAATTGTTATCTTAAAAACCAAGTTTATCTGATTATAAATCACAAAAACATTGATTGACAGTGTCAGTCAGTGAAGTTAATTTGACAGTATGTCGAAGTTTGTTTACCACTTATTTAAAAATCAAAACAATATAATGAAGGTAAAAGTATTTTTATCTTGCCTTACAATTAAATGCTTAAATATTAAAATGTTCAGTAAGCTACAGAAACATGCTTTTGAATTTTGAATCTTGCTTGCGTCCATAAAAAGTACGCCACTCTTTTCACAACATTTCATATTACGCATTAAGTACCGCAGTATTACTGTAACATACATATGTACATGATCTTCAGTTATGAATAAAAAGTGTTTATCAATTAGTGATGATAATTAAAATTAAAATCAGTAAATATTTGCTATAATGCAAGTATGTGTGCAAATAGACCTAATCGCACGTGTGGTGATTAAATGAAAATCTGCGTAAACGGAAAAGACGGTGTGTTGTGTTATGACTTTTGTTATTGTCAGATGGTTGCGCTCATTGCGCTGTCAAATAATTGTCACTGTTGTTTATCAAATGAATGATCCACATTGGAAATAAGAACAAAAACTGTTAATTAAATAAACCATGGTTTTATTTTTATGTTTTTAAGTGACATATAATTTTAAAGTTTGTTAAAAATGTCTATTCACTGGAGTTCAGAAGTGATGAAATGGGAGTATCGCGAGTTACAAGCCACGGCTATGACCGTGGATTATTCGGGCAACAATGTGTTATTAGCGGGGCGACGGTGGCTTGCGATAAAACAGATAACACAGGATGAGGATTCTGGAGATATAGTCAAAAAATATCCTCGTCACAGCAAGTACGATGCGGCCGGTGCTGAGTGGTGTCAGTCATACCATGGTCAGAAACTCTGCGCTATCGCGGTGGGTATTAAATTAATTTGTAAGTGGGTATATTGTACAATTGGCCTAATATTGTATAATTGGACTGCCTCATTGGCCGAGTGGTCGCAAGTGCGACTGCTGGGCAAAGGGTCTTGGGTTTGATTCCCGGATCAGGCAAAGTATTACTGGGTTTTTTTTAAATCTCAGTAGTAGCGTGGAGTCTGGAAATGTACCGGATATTAGGCAATAAGCTCACCCCGTATTACATGGGACTCATAGCATAAATAGTAAAAAGTGGGTGTTACATTGTACAGTGGCATTAAGTGCCAGAATGTGCACCTCTATCTACCCCTTCTGGGATAAAAAGGCGTGATGTTATGTTATATTGTATAATTTTTATTTCCTTGTACAAAATCCTTACGAATATTATAAATCGGAAAGTGAGTTTGTTTGTTTGTTCCACAATCACGTCGTAACTACTAAACAAATTGCTTTGAATTTTTGCAGACATAAATTAGAAGTCCGGATTAAATAATAGAGTACTTTTTATCCCGGAAAAATTTGATATTCCCGAGGGAAAACAAGAGTATTGGTATAGATGGCGCTGTGTGTATTGGTATATGTCACATAGGCTACTTTTTATCCTTTTGTGATGCGAGTGAAGCCGCGGGTTAAAGCTAGTATTCTATAAAAATCATAATAATTACCTATTAAACTGTCAAACACATCGAGGATACCGGTGACCGCAACCTATTGTTCTTTAATTGTTTCTATAATGACGGTACTCAATGAGTTGACTGGTTTCATAAAAAAAGAGGTGCCCAGTTTCACCCATTATTTTGCGATTGGCTGAACCGATTTCGATGCGGTTTTTAGAAAACTGTTTGTTACATTTAAGAGAAAGTTTTAGTATATTAATTAACTAACTTCAAAAAAGAGGGGCTGAAGATATTTTTACGTATTTTTAACATAGTTTTTAATATAATTATTTTGTACCCACTTATGTAGGTATTCCTTTTTTGTAGAAATATTAAATTAAATTGTTCTAATGTATATCATTGCAGAGTAACCAAAGAGTAGACGTATATGAGTGGCGTAACGGCAATGACTTAACATGCATTTGTTCTCTCCGTGGACACACTCGAGTAGTCAGTGACACTCACTTCCACAGACAGGATCACAACCTTATAGCAACATGCTCTATTGACACATTCACTCATTTATGGGATTTGAGAGATGCAAGGAAACCTGTAGTATCATTGTGTGCAGTTGGTAAGTTTAAAAGTATCCTTACTAATATTATAAATCGGAAAGTGAGTTTGTTTGTTTGTTCCGCTTTTACGCCGTAACTACTTAATCGATTGCTTTGATTTTTTGCAGAAGTAAAGATAGAAGTCCAGATTAAATAATAGGGTGTTTTTATCCTGGAAAAAATAGATATTCCCGAGGGAAAACAAAAGTATTGGTATAGATGGCGCTGTGTGTATTGGTATATGTCAAATAGGCTACTTTTTATCCTTTTGTGACGCGTGCGAAGCCGCGGGTAAAAGCTAGTAAAAAATAAAACCTTTAAACCTTTTATTTTAGTTAGACAGCCACATCGCAACTATTTGCTTAATGCTGTAATTATAATAATTCAAATTTTATATTAACTTGGTATTATTATTTCTAGCTGGTGCCTCACAGGTGCAATGGAACAAAGTAGCCACACATATAGTGGCCACTGCTCACGATGGTGACATAAAAATATGGGATTACCGCAAACATTCTGCTCCTATTCACTATATTTCTGCACATCTTTGCAAAATCCATGGAGTGGACTGGAGCCCTCATCATGAATACCAATTGGTTACTTCTAGTCATGATGGAAGTATAAAATATTTTGACATTAACAATGCAAGAAGACCAGAGAATGTGATAATGACAAACTTTCCAGTATGGCGAGCAATATACACTCCGTTTGGCAGTGGTCTACTGACCATAGGTGTAGGCTGGGGAGGGATGCCTAGAGTAGAACAGGCTGGAGTGATTGGTATATGGGTAGGTGGGGCACTGACACACCGACTTGTGGGACACACTGATACAGTCCAAACTATGGTCTGGAGACCAAATACCTCACCATCCAACTATCAACTAGTGACATGGGCTAGAGACCAGTCTCTAAGAGTATGGTCAATGCATCCCTCATTATTAAAGATGTGCAATCACTATTTGCCTGATGATGGTGAAAATGATGATGACAATAATAGTGACAGTAAGTAACTCAGTTCACTACAAATATTGTAAGTACTAGAGTAAAATCTTTAAAATAACCCACATATTATAATTTCAGACGTTAGCTATGCATCTACAGCGGGGTCCACCACTGATATCTCTACAGGAGATAACAAAGGTCAAGATATTGCATTGGTAAGATATTTCATTAGAATCTATATACTTTTTGAACAATTTATCAAAATATGTAGGTAGCATACATTCGTAACTACTGCGTAGAAGAAATTATAATGTGTCAATGTCCAGTTTGTAGTTGTATAGTAATAATTATTGTTTTCCAGAATAAACTGCCGCACAAAACTAACACGTCGATAGATGAAGAATTTGAGTCTATTCGCGAGATGGCGAACATCGAGGTAACAGATATGAATATTGAGACCCGGACATGCCAGATACACTCTGAGCGCAATGGCTACGTGGCGAATCTCCAAGTGACTTTCCCAAGAAATGTTACAGAACAAACTATACCAAAGTTTTCATGGCTGTCTGGAACAAATGTCGACAGTCCCACTACTATTAAAATATTACAGTCTATCAATAGAACTGCTTACCGCAAGAAAAAGGAAGGTCACAGATGTCTATTGCACTGCTTGAAAACACTGGCTACATCTATAGACGAGGTATTCACCCATTATATTATTAAGTTGTGAAAAGAAAATAAATTGCACACATTTGAATCAACTTTCTTCAACATTTCATATTCATTATAACAATAATGCGCAGCATTTACTAATCTAAACATGTTTGTTGTTTATAGATACCAGTCAAATCCAGTGACGATACTGACTCAATGAAGTCAAGTCAAAGAAGTCAGTCGGAGAGTGAAAACGCTGGTGACTCGTGCATCCCGTTCCCTAGAACTTGTGGGGCCAAATGGTGCGGAGTCAGTACATTGGTGGTGTTCAATAGGCCCCCGAATGCTCGTCGTCTGTCGCTGAAGCACGAGACAGGCACTCCGCGGTCCATGTCCTCCCTGTCGCTCACTCCGGGACTGTTTGGCACAACTGGCTACAACTCCGTGTCGCCCCACGCGACCACGACGCCGTCTCCAACAAACGCGTCCGGTTTTCCACAGCTGCATCACAGACATCCGTCGAATTCCATTACTACGTTCTATTTTCAAGATAGATGGGTAAGTTTATAAGTGTATTTGTTTGAACATTAGGTAATACTCCCTTGGTCACTTTATCCAGCTTACTTTTGGTACTCTTTCGTTACCAGAAAGCACAGGGTCGTCGCGCAGGTAGCATGCGAAGTCGAGGCAGTATATCTGGATGCGTGGCACCACGAGTCGTTTTGTACGCCGCCCCCAACCTGTTTCCACTTAGTCGTAACCTCGCTGAGAAATATATCATTAACGCTGACAATCCTATCGGTATGTAAAAGTCTAATAAAAATCATTTAAATATTTAATGCAATATTGTCATCCAATTTAAGAACAAAAAATTGTAAATGGTAGGAATAAGTACATAACCTTATATTATCTGAATAGAAATGTGCGAAAAGAATGCAAAAGTAGCTACAGAAGAGGGTGAGACAGACTTGGCGCATGCGTGGGACCTGGCAGCTTTGACCGCGCGGTCCCTGCGGGCGCGAGTCATCGATCACCTCGTCTCCAGCGAGGAGAGCATGGGCTGGGTCGGACACCCACTCTGTTGCAACCTCCTCCAGTCCTTGTAAGTAAACTCACATCTTTCTACATACCGTAGCTAAACGATATACTAAAGTATACCGAATATTATTCCAGAATATCTCACTACGCAAAAGCGTCGAACCTCCAGATGGCCGCAATGTTGGCTTGTGCTTTTTCCGTCTTCAATGACACAAGCAACTCTAGTTCACAATCTACAATTAGCACGTCAAGTTATGTGAGTATTGTATACTTTTCGAGTATACCCAATAGATAACAAAACTGGAGAGACATACACAGTTAATAAATACGAAAAATATTTATTTTATTTTTGGTTGTAGGGCAACGGCACATCTCCATACAGTACAGTGAATCAATACAGTGAGATAAGCGCAGACGGGTGGACGCTTCCAATTGTACTGCGCAGTAACTCATGTTCAGAAGCAGAGAACTTCTACACCGACTCTACGGTGTCAAAGTCCGAAAAAGCATCGTCGTGTGTACTCGATGAAGCAACTGTACATCTGTATCATTGCTTTAAAAGAGTTTACGCAGACATACTGCATCGCTGGCAGTTAATTTATAAAAAGACTGAGGTGAGTACCATTGTTTTTACATATTAGGTGAATACTTAGAACGAGCCAACACTGTGCGGCAACGGTGCGGTGCAACGCTGGACCAGTTCTGGCAGCGTCATCCTAAATAAAAATTACTTATTCACGTCTCACGGCGCGTTGGGCCACCGTGGCGGCGTATATCGTAAGGCCTCAAACGCACTAGCGGTCAACCGTTCGGTTAGCCGCACCCTGCGGTTGGTGGCCCGTGTATCCTATGGCTCGAAAAAGTTGCAATATGGCGCCATACCGCACCATAACTGCATCCTGTGGTCTCCCCGTAAGACGTACCCACGGGATGCATCAAACGCAAATACGTCCGATTAAAAAGTAGTAGATAGGTTACTTTAGTATGGATAATATTGAATAGGTGTTGAAGCTGGTGAACGGCGACACAAGCTGCAGCAGCGGGCCGGGCCCCGAGCTGGCGGCGGAGTGCGCGCGGTGCGGCGCGGGCGTGCGCGGCCCGGCCTGCACGCAGTGCGCGCGCCTCGCGCTGCGCTGCGCCGTCTGCGCGCGCCCCGTGCGCGGCCTGGCCGCCGCCTGCCACTACTGCGCGCACGCGGGCCACGCGCTACACATGTTGCACTGGTACGTACACTACTACTACACACGACACACTACTAGTCGCGCCCCGTGCGCGGCCTGGCCGCCGCCTGCCACTACTGCGCGCACGCGGGCCACGCGCTACACATGTTGCACTGGTACGTACACTACTACTACACACGACACACTACTAGTCGCGCCCCGTGCGCGGCCTGGCCGCCGCCTGCCACTACTGCGCGCACGCGGGCCACGCGCTACACATGTTGCACTGGTACGTACACTACTACTACACACGACACACTACTAGTCGCGCCCCGTGCGCGGCCTGGCCGCCGCCTGCCACTACTGCGCGCACGCGGGCCACGCGCTACACATGTTGCACTGGTACGTACACTACTACTACACACGACACACTACTAGTCGCGCCCCGTGCGCGGCCTGGCCGCCGCCTGCCACTACTGCGCGCACGCGGGCCACGCGCTACACATGTTGCACTGGTACGTACACTACTACTACACACGACACACTACTAGTCGCGCCCCGTGCGCGGCCTGGCCGCCGCCTGCCACTACTGCGCGCACGCGGGCCACGCGCTACACATGTTGCACTGGTACGTACACTACTACTACACACGACACACTACTAGTCGCGCCCCGTGCGCGGCCTGGCCGCCGCCTGCCACTACTGCGCGCACGCGGGCCACGCGCTACACATGTTGCACTGGTACGTACACTACTACTACACACGACACACTACTAGTCGCGCCCCGTGCGCGGCCTGGCCGCCGCCTGCCACTACTGCGCGCACGCGGGCCACGCGCTACACATGTTGCACTGGTACGTACACTACTACTACACACGACACACTACTAGTCGCGCCCCGTGCGCGGCCTGGCCGCCGCCTGCCACTACTGCGCGCACGCGGGCCACGCGCTACACATGTTGCACTGGTACGTACACTACTACTACACACGACACACTACTAGTCGCGCCCCGTGCGCGGCCTGGCCGCCGCCTGCCACTACTGCGCGCACGCGGGCCACGCGCTACACATGTTGCACTGGTACGTACACTACTACTACACACGACACACTACTAGTCGCGCCCCGTGCGCGGCCTGGCCGCCGCCTGCCACTACTGCGCGCACGCGGGCCACGCGCTACACATGTTGCACTGGTACGTACACTACTACTACACACGACACACTACTAGTCGCGCCCCGTGCGCGTTAAATGTTGTCCTACACTAGGATTGTCAGTCATAAAATTTGACATACATGACACACAGACCTGAAACAACAGTTTGTAAATCACATAAAGAGTTGCGCCATGCGAAAATCAAACCCGCTACTTGTTTCGCGGCAGCTGGTTGCCCAGCCACCGCATCCATGCACCGTGCTTCCAATTAATTGCGACTTTGAGATTTCTAAACCTCTTACATTTATTTTTAGACTATTTTTGGCGGTCTTACTACAAACAAAGTAAGTACGGGCAATTTATAGTTATTTTTTTTTTGTTTTAGGTTTTCACAACACGACACATGCCCAACAGGGTGCGGCTGCAAATGCGTGATGGAAGGCAACTCCGTGTGGAAAGGAGTCAATAAGTACGTGTGACGACTTATGTTTGTAACTGATTTTAAACTGCTATGTAAATATCAACACTTAATTTATGTTTAACTATTTCTCTTGGGTTCAATAGAGTAGCTTTTTTTTATCTCATGAAGCATTTTACAGGTTTTGAGCATTGTTTTATACTGTAAATGGGGATAGTTTTTACGTATAATTGCATAAACTGCTCAACAAAACATCTTTCAACCAACTTGACATGTGGCCTTCTATTTATTACATGTAGTTGACAACTAGTCATATTCAATACTTTTATAATAAGATAGCAACGTACTAATTTGAATTTTATATAATCAAAACGATCAACTGGATTGTCATGGTCGTCATGGGATGTTTTAGATAATTAACAGGTATCTCTATTCGAGATATGATGGACAATGATAAAATTATGCTTTTATATTTTAGTGAAACAGTAATTTTCGTCACTTTAACAAAGTTGTAATATTAATTGTGTAAATACCTTTTACTATTATGTTATTAATGAAGACTGCCAATTTTATACAATCAATTGTTAATAAATAAGTACGCAATTTTATAAAGAATTTTATTTAACAAATTTTTTGTTATAAAAAATTTTAAACAAAACTAAAACGTGCACTTATTAATTTTAATGATGAGTGAGTGAACTATAGTGACTGTTTGGGAGCTCCCATTGCTTTTACAAGATGTTTAAAGGAGTGATACTGTTGTGTACAAAATTTGGGTCGTGTGCAATTCTTGCCACCGTCGTGGTATAAAAAAAATATGGTAAAAATCATAATTATGTGTTTTGCCGGTGACTTTAAACAAGTTAAGTATTCCAGTCGGTTTTTAATATCTCACATCTAAGGTATAAAAGGGCCAATTTAACGGATATTAATAATTATATCCTCTTCGTCTTACGAGGATCAGCGATTATTTACACAATTATGTACACAATTATTAGTCAAAACTGGTTACTGATGGACACATGGGCTGTCAGGACGTCTCCGCGGCACAATACTTTTTGTGTAGTAGGTATAACAGTACCGCAATTAGAGATGGGCACTGGGAAAAAACCCAAAGGGAAAAAACCCAGGTATTTTCCCTTTTGGGAAAAAACCCGGTTTTTATGTGGGAAAAAACCCAATAGGCGGGTATTTTCATTTATAATGATCTTATTCTATTTTTATTTTCAAAACTAAATAAATAGGTACTTTGTGATGCGCATATGCATTCACTCAAAAAGTATCGGGATTGGATGATTTGTTTATGGTTCCAAATTCAAATTTTTGTTTTTATGTAGTTGTTAGATTGGCACAACTGTTTTCCATTTTGGCGCGGAGTTTGACTTGCATCTGTTATTTATATCAAATACAGCGCTGGTTTCAGAAATATCATATATAATGTATATTGTGAATTTCATAATGGACACAAATATCGATCAAAGAGTTTGTCTTAAATTTTGCATCGCCAATGGAAATAAGAAAGTCACTGATAATAACATTTGACTCCGAACACGGATCCGAACAGAAAGCTTACGGTGAATCGACTTTATCAAAAACTCGTGCTTATGAGTGGTTCAAAGCGTTCAAAAGCGGTCAAGATGTGATGGAAGATTCGCCTCGCTCTGGTAGGCCATCAACGTCTGCAACTGAAGTTAACATCGCAAAAGTGAAGGAAATAGTGACTGAAAATCCCCATTCAACTCTGAGAGAGATAGCTGCTGAACTTTCTGTATTTCACGAGTCGATCCGTACCATTGTAACTAATCATTTGGGTATGAAACATGTTGCTGCTCGGCTAGTCCCAAAAGATCTAAATTTTCTCCAAAAACTCAATCGCATTAAAGTCGCTGAGGACATGCTAGAAAGAGTCAGTTCGGACCCAACATTCATGAAACGCATTGTTACTGGTTACGAGATGTGGGTTTATAAGTTTGACATGCAAACTAGTCAACAAGCTTCAGAGTGGAGCCCAGATATAGTATTGTAGTCTTTGGTGGAGCCTTCCAACTGAACCGAAACCGAAAAAGCCACGCCAAAGTCGATCAAAAGTCAAAGTCATGTTGACTGCTTTCTTTTACTATTGCGCTGTTATGTAGTCTGAATTCAAATTCGACGAAAAAGGCCAGATTTGTGGAAAGAAAATTCTTGGATTTTGCACCACGACAATGCGCCTTCGCACAAGGCAATTGGTGGCATCAAGGTGAACGAATTTTTGACCAAACACTCAACAAATACCATCTAGCAACCACCATATTCACCAGATATGGCTCCTGCTGACTTTTTTCTTTTTCCTAAACTCAAATTACCACTTCGTGGCACCCGTTTTCAATCGATAGAAGACGTAAAAGAGAATTCGCGGCGAGAACTAAACTCAATTCTGAAAGCAGCGTTTAAAAAATGTTTCTATGAATGGATTATTCGCAAGTGTATCGTCTCTTAAGGACTTTAACTCGTTGAGTACCGTCATTACAGACAATTAAAGAACAATAGGTTGCGGTCACCGGTGACAGTTTAAAGGTGATAAAATAGATTTGGATGAATAACAGACATTTTTTGTATTATTGATCTTTTCCCGGTACTTTCTTGACAGAGTAGTACTTAGCGCCAGCGTGTATAAGGCATTAGCTGTTGTGTTATTTGATACCTTAAAATGTGTAGTCTGTTTCAAGAACTAAAACATAACCAGCATATTTATTATAACACCATAAAGACGTCTTCTTGTTTTATAATAAGTTTTTACTGCGCTCTGTGATGGAATGTTAACAGCAGAAAAAATACCTATTAAACTTTAAAGAATGTTTGACTAAAAAAATATAATTAAAACAACGAGAGATACTCTTACTAATAATCATTTATTATATTTTACAAAAGTTACAAAACTGTAAATTTACCGGTAAATTTCGTTTGTAAAAAAAAATAGGTATCAAATTCCGTAAGAGTAGCAGTTGTTGTCAATTCAAAGGAAATCATTAGGTAACCAAAAGTCCACCAAACAAAATCCAAGTCGTCAATTAAACCAACAAATTAACACGAGTGCGCACAGTATGAAGCCGAAACAACGTGTGAGATAGATAGATCACCAACGCGCTCGCCCCACTACTACCTGCTTCCCTGCCCCTCTACTCGCTCACGTATTTTCGGGCTACCTGTCGCTAAGAGCGGAGGATCACACACAAACAGACAGGATTTTTGTTTAATTTTATTTTATTTCATTTGATAGTAGGGACGTAAGGATATTAAGAACGTTATTACTGCAATATGAACATAAACAAAGTTAGATTAGCTCTAACTTGTAGTAATAGTTCTTAAATAGTACGTACTATATGATATGTACATAATCTACACATTACTTATTTGTTACATGTGTTAAATATGAAAAAACCCGAATATTTTCCCATTCGGGAATTTTCCCCGGGTTTTTTCCCGGTTTTTTCCCATATTCGGGTTTTTTCCGGGTAAAATCCCATCTCTAACCGCAATGAACTTAGGTAGATTTTGCTGTATAAAGTCCACTTGCCGGAATGCTATAGACGTTAAATATGTGCATTATGTTAGTGTTATGCATCCACTTCAGTTATGAATAAACGGTACTGTAATCGTTTTATACCATACATAAAATTCCAGAGTACATTACATACTCTGTGACCATGAAATTCCTTTTCACACAGAGTTGCAAAATTCACCGCGATTCTAGACTAACAATTATACCACACAGCCTTTTTCTGATATTTCTTGCCAGGAATAATATGCTGTGTTCAGTCTCTCTCAAGGAATATGAGACTACTAGGTACTCCCTAAGATCTCTCTAAAGCGTGAACTTGCGCATCATATTAACAGCCTTTAAGTGGTCACTGCTGATCAAAAGCCTCTTCTCGCACGAAGAAGGTTCAAGCATTGATCAACATGCTTGCTCAATGTGGGTAGGCACCTTCTCCAAGTAAATGTACGTGGCAAGGACAGCGGGGATGAATTTTGGTACCTACCAAAAGTCGTACAATGAATCAAAATTCATATTTGCTTATAAGTAATGACTATAATTGGTCGTGAGATTATTTATTATAAAAAAACAACAAACAAAATAGCCAACATAATCGTGACATCGCGTCAAATTAACAGTTACAATGAGCAAATAAATAAATTCAATATTTTTATAATACAATTGTATAAATTAGTTTCACGTGAAAATACTACATTGGGTTTCTGAAAGGATAAATTCATATCTTTTGTCTGGCTTATAATTGTATTCAACTAATCAGGAATCAGGGCACTTGTCATGCATTTAACATGAACGGTCTTTTTGTTTAATTTGAGTTCCCTTTCAAAAATCAAATGTTAAATATTTTTTAGTTTAATAAGATAAAAATATTTTCTATTACTATAATCGAAGATGTGGATACTAAGAACCTGTTTTACAATGTCTGACCAAGTTGTTGAAAGCTTAGCTGTCATAGTTCGTAAGAAAAATGCGTCGAATTAATTGCCAAAAAGAACTTATTCAGACATTGTGAAACTGGTCCTTAGTTTCATGAGCAATGAGGGGGTTAAAATGCGCATAAGACAAAAATATTTCTCTTTATCAGCAAATCTGTTATTACATGAATATAAAGTTACATCGACATTGTATTTACAGTATTGTTTCTTATTGTAATATCTGTTACTACCTAAAAGAGAAAAAAATACATATAAGTAGGCACAATATAAAAAGGAAAGGTTTAGGCACCATCAAATTGTTTCAAGCGAACTACATCTAAAAGAATTAATTACGCTATAAACTAAACTTAAACAAAGTAAATAACACTTAATACAATAATATAAAAAAGAGATTTCGTCTTGATATCTAATATCTACTTTGGTATTTTTGTGTAAATTTTATTTCTCGTTTAGGGGTAACTAAGTATATGTCACACTAGACCTATAGTCATAGTCTAATAGTCACAATTTCAAGTGCATGCATGAAAGTAAAGGTTGATTTAGATTTGATTTCGTAAATATCCTGTACAACCGCATCACAAGATTATTTGACACACATTTCATAATTATACAATTGCTAAGTGAAAGTCTACAAAACAAACAAATTAAGTAACAAAGTTAATATTTTACGTACCTCTGAGAGAAGCCAAAAATGTTTTTGGCGCGAAAACTACAAATCTAGTGCAACATATATCAAACATACCTTTAAAATTACTATGTGATTCTGTGCCTTATTTACAGTAGATTTACTGAACATATTGTGAAGATAATAGGGTAGTTTCCAAATCGTCAAATTCAAAACTTTTACATAAACGTTTACTCAAAATTTTGTACGAAATTGTACATTTTTGTGTCAAAAGTTATACTGATTTCTTTTAAATTACTTTAAAAAATTCTGAATCTAAAACTAAATCAGTTAATGAGTTTATCATTATTTTTATGTTTAATACATTTATTAGTGGAATAGTTTTATTTTAAATTGAGGAAACAACCCTATTGAATAAACATGTATAAAAATCACAACAGTGTTCCAATGTTGAAATAAAGAACAGAACACATACGTATTCCAATATAACACAATATTTATCGAAATTACCACAAATTCTAAGGATTAATGCTACTGCAGTGGTACCTACAATAACCTAGTCAACAACTGCTGTTTCAGCAACCTTTTCAGTAGTTTCGTAAAATTAATGTCATTGAAACCACTACTTACCTAATAAGTAGGTACAATTATTTATGAAAATCGGCATTGTACCTAGGTTTTTTTAAATAACTCAAGCGTTTTGGGTTATAAATTCTTATAAAAAGTTGAAGAAAAGCACTTGTTGACTAGACTACAAAGTACGCATGCGCGGCGCAATGGCATGGATGCTGATCTCAGAGGCGAGTCGTTCTATTGTAGCAGCTAAAACAATAAACTGTTATTAGTAAAACAATTAATTTAAAACTACATATTACTACCTACTTGGGTAAACTAGTAAAATGTTGGGTTGTCGTGAACTGTGCTCATTTCAATAAAAGAAAACGGATTAGTCGCGTTTATTTTGGGCCTGAAGAGGGCGAAGAAAATAAAGGCAGAACGAAAGTAAATCTACTTTTATAAGTATACAGGTACGTATAAATATATATATATTTTTTTAAGGGGGGAAAATCATCAAATTACTGCTCCCGCCTGGGTGAGGCTAGGGAGTGTCAGACTCTTACTGACTAAAAACCACCCCGTTCCTACTCCTGAGCGGCAAGCACGAATAAGTAACTATCGCATTCGTATCGAGCGCGTTCGGTGCTCTGATTGGTTAGATCACTGGAGTCGGCCAGTCTTGGCACTCTGTACGTCGACCCGGAGCCCCGGTAACCTGACGCATAAATATAATGCACCTATTTCAAGAATGTAAATGACCGCATATAACCCACAAATAATTTCACTAAAATGGATTATTCCGTTTTTATTACGTAGTGGGAAGTAAAAAAAATATTTCACTGGAAAGTAAGAGATAGGCAACAGCTGGGCAAAGCCGAGTCGGTCCGCTAGTTTAAAATAAATGCGACTTATTCGTAAAGTAGTATTGTTAAAACTAACTAAGTAGATACCTACTATACATACCTAATAGCACACAAAAAAGTTTAACTAGCTTTATCAGTCCTATCAATACCACGAAATATTTTTTAATTATTCTAACAGTGAATGGCTACGTTCACGTATTGCCAAAATTGATTGAGTGATATTAATAGATTTGGGTAAATAATAAAAAAAGTGTTTTATAGGTTGTCTTTACGTATGTAGACATTTCTATTCTTAAAAATTACCCAGTACCTAGAAATCTAAACTGATTATTTGTAACACACTAAATATCTATTGCGCCAATACCACATGGAGAGTATGTATATATTTTATATGATATTTCTGATGCCAAAATATTACTTGTTATACAAAAACATCTATAGGTCTTTATATAAATGAAGTCTTTCCATTGATAGATAGGGTTTCATTTCTGGTTTTACCATGCCCAGGCAATAAATTAATTTAATTCCAATTCTTTCTCAAAATAAAATCATATATTTAATAGTTTCATTATTTTTCATTTCACCCTTCATGTGGTATTGACGTGGACCACCCTGTAGGGCTGTATACGACATAAAATACCTATAAACTGACAATGAGATAAGCCATAGTTTTAAAAACATATAAAACCCTGTTCCTGTCAGTCTACTCGCGTTTGTCTGATATAAGGCGACAGTATGATGAGAGTGAGTTTGTTTGCGTCGTACCTCTCGAGCAGCCGGCGCTTGAGCTCGGGTGGGTAAGTGACGTATATGTAGTGGTCGTCGTGGTCCGGGTCGTCCAGCATCGCGTCGTCTGCCGCCAGCCGCTCGCCGCGTGTCGGCGACGAGTGCGTCGTCATCGACACCGATGCGCTGCCCGCCACGCTGCCCTCTTCCGAGCTACAACAGTTCGTCATTCATTCACTTTTGGAAAACACGAGGTACGATAGAAAACGTAACGTATATACCTAGATCTTCGACTCCTAGGCTCCGGGAAATCTTCAGCCGCTTCTTGGAGGTAAAGATGATCGACCATTGTATTAATGAGAAACGCCTGCACATAAGGCAGCCTTTCCAAAAACAAAAACATGAATAGGTGAGCATCTAAGTACTACGTGGTGGTATGTGTACAAAGTAGCCGTGATATCTATATGTTTTGTGTTACATGATATCTGTAAACGGTATGAATAATACTTTTAACCTTGCAAATCTCGTTCATGAAATATTTGTGATATCAATTTTATGATTGCAATCTAATAAGAGTATCTATTAAGTGACTACGCACACATGTATCCAGTTTCCTTACCAGGCGATTGTGTAACTTACTCGAACACAATCCAGATGATGTAGTAGCACATACAGAGTGCTAGCGCCAGGCCGGTAGCCAGGGCCAGCAACAGTGGCCAGGGGAATGCGCGTGCCGAGGGCGCTGTGTCCTCCCAGTACCGATCGCAGCTCAGGTACCAGCACACAGCGCGCTGCATTTCCTCTGATAAAAGACAATAATATAATAGTAACTGCACGAAGAAAATAACGTTATTGTAAAATTGTTGTGGTTCTAAAACGTAAGGAAAAAATCAAAACCTTCAAGCTCGGTGAACTGATGTTGAGTGAGGTGCAGAAGAAGTGTCGCTATGCACGAATGAACTATTCTTTCACAGCGAATCTGAAATAAATATAAACAGGTGAAAAATAAATCTACAAAAAACAAACTTTGAAATGAGGCATAAAAATATCATAGGAATTCAGTACAAAATTCATTTTAAAGAGACTGATTAAATTTATTGCTCTTATGAATCAACAGCTCGGCTATTGGGTAACTTTCAATTCGAAGGATCGAAGTGAACTTCATCGCGGTCCGCCATGTGATGGTTTTGACAATAATCTCGGCCAATGACGGGCGAGAATGCGATCGACCTCACTTTAGAAATTCGAGTTGATATCTTACACAATAGCCTAGCTGGTCACAAACACTATTACCGGTCCGGATTGTCCGATTTATATAGAAGCTATTCCTCTATAACATAGACTTATATCAAAGAAAAAGTTCTTATTTAAGACAATATCATCTGCTTTTTCCTTCGGGATATAAAAGATAAAGATAAAGATATGTTTATTTCTAAGTATATGGTACACTGAGATCTTAAACTAAATATGGAATCACATATACTATCATTTCTGGTGTAGAAATTTTAAACAAGTTAAGTCCATGCCAAAAGCCAAAAGACTTTTAGATATGTTATGATTGTGATAAAAATGGAATTACTGAAGGACCTTAAGTGTCTGAAGGCGGGTGGGGTCACAAGCCGCTCGCTCTGCCTGCAAGTCTGCCAGCCTCTTATGTCGACTGTCGGGAGGTAGCGACGACTCCACGGTATCCGCATCACACAGCTCTGCCGTCTGATTAGCGTCACTGTCATTATCTTCTGTTCTTTTCTCTTCTGGTTCTGAAAAAGTAGCGTACCGTCATTGTCATCAGCCCGTCTCATTTTATAACATATTATCTCTAAAATAAAAGAGAAATTATTTCTCTTTCTAAAAGTAATTCTTTCGTCTATTAGGTATTGAGAGTTATTAACAACTTAAAAACTCAGTAAAACTTTGCAAGATTTGACAATAGACACCTAATCACTCTGCAAGTCGCAGTCCCGACCATTTGTTCGTAGGTAGGTAGGCAGGCAGGTTAGTTTCTATAAGTCATGTACCTGATTCCTGCTCTCGTGCGTCAGCTTCTGACCGCGGGCAGTCTTCTATGGGGGGCGGCGGCGCGGTGCGTGCTCTGTGACGTCTTCTTGCATTTACTCTGGCCACGCTCCGCGTCGCCGCCGGTGCCAGCGCTTTTTTCACTGATTCCACGTCTTGCCATACCTGAAGCAAATTCTTTATTATTGCCATGATGCCATAGTTCCATGAGTGCCCTCCGTAGCGAATCGCAGAACAACTCATAACATTAAATTATTTTTTTCCAAACATTTTGAGACTGTTCTCACACGAGGGCGATACGGAGCTAGCCACTATAGTTTTGTATATTATAGAGCACTTTACAACTTGATGGCCTTATTTAATTTAATTAGACGATAGAAACCATCGTGTTTGTTAAAATACTCACTTCAATATCGGTGCTCGGTCCACCAGTGCCACTGAGCAGGCCATGTGCGACGAGCACCTGACACCGCATGATGTCACAGTAGTCTGCCAGGCAAACTGCATCTTCCGCCTGTCCATACGAAATGTTATTATTACTTAGTGCAATTATAATTGCATAATATATGCAGTTTCAAGTATGCAAAGTAAGTATGCACAGTCTATTTGCAATTATACCTATATCGATAATTCTTGAAATTTATTCAACTATAGACTTAAATGTGAAAGATTTCAGAGGTGCCAAAAATCAGCTTAGCACAAATTTTAAAACAATAAAAATTAAGTCTGTCTAGACTCCATTTCTGATTATATCACTTTTGAAGGAAATCCATCTGAACTATACAACAACTAGTACAATCTCCTGGAATCCCTAGTCTTCTGGTTACCTTATTAATCTGGTTCTTGTGTCTCTGGTCGAAGTGCGTGTCCAGATGTCGTTCTTCGTAGAAAGACTTGCCACAGAAGGCGCAAGTCCACTGCGATGGCCTGTGCTGTAGCTTGGCTGCATGTTGGGGCGCGAATATGTCGCGTGCTGGATGGAACGGACACTCCAGTGGCAGCTTCACCTGAAATGTACAGAAATTATGTAAATAATATGGGACTAGATGTCGATGATACACACATAGTATAAGATCACGACTTTTATCCTGAAGTGGTAGGCAGAGGTGCATATCACAGCACTTAAACTGTCAAACACCAAGCGGTCACCGGTGACCGCAACCTATTGTTCTATAATTGTGTCTATAATGACGGTACTCGACGAGTTAATGTGTAAAATATAACACCCACTATTTATGTTATGAGTCCCATGTAAAAGGAGGTGAGCCTATTGCCATACACCAGGCACAATTCCAAACTCCGGGCTAATACTAAATAATTTTTGAAAAACCTAGTAACACTTTGCTCGACCCTGGAATCGAACCCGAGACCCCTTGTCCTGCAGTCACACCTGCGACCATTCGGCCAACGAGGCAGTCCAAGACAGACTAAGTATGTAAAGCATATATAAGCTGAACGATTCTAGACTATTTTAAAAGCACAGTCTTAATGAAAATTTTATCCAAAATCTCATATTTGTCTTAGATGTTACTTGCAACTTATAAACGATCAAAAATTAACTTCATGAAAATGTATTCAAACAATAGTAAACGCATATTTTACATAAATTTTAGTGGAATATACGAGAGCTTACCTGAAACCTCTCTAGTACTGGAAGCCATTTATTTTCTATAACCTTTCTTACTATTTTTGAGTTGTCACGAGAGCAAGTTATCTTGAAGACTGAGGGCCCCGGCCAAGGGATCAGTGTGAGGAAGAGTAAGGCCAGGACCTGCAAACAACATTAAACAAATATAGAAAAGCCACATTCCTGATAATATTCTCGAAAATTATTTAAGTTCTAGTTGCAACAAAGTATCTAAACAAAATCTATGTGATCTTGATGGTTTACACATTTTTGTTTTTGATACCGTATTACACAGATATTCTATACATCTAATAGAAGAATCCTTAGTTAGAGCTTAAATAAATTAATAAAATGATGTCTTAATGCTACCCTTTGTAACCATATTTGAAGATGCTACACGATATAATATAATAGTCACTATAATTTATGATAAATTTCAAGAATTACAAACGTAAGTGTGGTAGAGCCATGCTTCGGCACGAATGGGCCGGCTCGGCTGGAGTAATATCACTGCCTCACAGAAAACTGACGTGAAACTACGCTTGCGTTGTGTTTCGTCGTGTGAGTGAGGTTACCGGAGGCCCAATTACCGTCCCCTTCCCCAATCTCCCCAATTCCTGAATCCCCAACGATCCTCAAACTCCTAATCCCCAAAGGACCGGTAACGCACTTGTAACGCCTCTGGTGTTCCAGGTGTCCATGGGCGACGCCGATTGCTTACCATCAGGTGATCCGTCTGCTCGATTACCGGCTTATGCCATAAAAAAACGTAATATGCAGAAATTACCGGTTAAACTAACTTCATATATACTTTAATGTAAAATAACTCTCCGAAACACTGTTTACGCACGCAAATATGATTCTAAAACAACAGTTTTAACGTAAGAAAATTGTTGAAAATCGTATCGCAGACTTGCTTATTTATCGACATTAGGGAAAGTAATATTATTCGTAAATTAGGTCAGGTAGATATTATGTTAATGGAATTCGGGATCGGTGAAGGTAAAAGATGCCGCTGTAATTCAGTATAAGAATTCTATAATACTTTAAATATTGATTGCATTTATAGGACCGGTTTTATGTGATATTATACTAAAAATACTCCACCAACGAAAAGTCCTGAATTCTTAATTTCTTCCTGACATTCTGGACATCGCCACGGAACCGAAAGTAAAGATCTTAAACATTTTACTACATACTTTGTCACGCGTTATTTTACACGGCTAATACCCACGAAAGCAAAAATGATTTAACAAAAACAAAATATACATTAGCTTCAAATGTTAAGAGCCACAATGAAAATTAAGGTTATGCTTGTGTACGATCGATTTCCGAGCATTTGTTAACCTTATCCTGAGAAAAATGTTGACTTACCTCGAGGGAAAACGAAGTGGTCCTCATTCATATCTCTTATGCGGCAGGTGGTCAAGGAAACTGTTTACATTAAACGTTAAATGTACTAGTTTATTACATAAAGTAAAGGAGTCTCTAAATGCGTTGCCATCACCGGTACTTCCGCGCATGCGTACTAAACCCACCCGGTCTCCCCTCTCGAAACAACTTGGGATTGCTAAGGTAGCACTCCTCTCTGTTTGGAGTTTATTTATGATTAAAAAGTTTTATTTGTGCCGCTACGCCTACTCGCACATTATAAACTTAAAATACTAATAAAAAATAAATAAAATAATGTTATCAAAGTGATTAAAGTGGTATCTACTACTTAGATCAAAATTTCATTGTAAATTATGCATGCAAAATAGATTAGTATAACAGTATCGTTGAAATAAAGAAATTTCTAAGCAATAAAGTTACGTGGATTTAATTTTGAAATTCTAAATGTGTCTATTTAAGTTTCGTAGCAGTTGCTACGAGAACGTAAAAATATCGCTTTAAAACAGCTTGGTGCTAGCAGATCTTTCGCATTATAGTTACGATAGCTTGTATCGTATTAAGTGTGAGTGAGAAGTATGGTACAAGTTTTACACTTGTAATTAAAAATCGTGATACAAAGAACTACTAATTTTCGTAGCACACAAAATAATTCTGTAGCGAGCTACGAGATTGGTACGAATCTACTACGAGACCTCAAGCGTGTCAAGCGCGGAGCAAAGTTCGTAGTCTGCTACGACATTCTAAAATTTATACTCGCTACTAGGAAACCCTTTATATTGAATAGATTGCTACGAATTCATTTACTATTCAATTACAAGGTTTTTTAATACTTACCTGTTACCTGCTACGAGGCCTTTTAACCTTCGTAAAGCTTGTGTTGATGTGTTGAATGAGTTCTTAAACTTTTCTAGGTATATTGTTATTAATTATTTTATAAACGATATTTTAATATTTTTAAGCATTATATTTACTGTTTATGTAAAGTTCTAGCTCCCTTTGAGTTCTACCTCCTGCAATATCTTGACATCACTCTTTTTATTCTCCGAAGAGATAGTTAAGCTTTTATGAAGATATTGTATTTTTTTTGGCACAGAATTCGATTCTGGGAGAGTTGTTATTCAATGTTTATTAATTAACACCACATTATATCGATTATGGCGCATTCATCACCAGTTGCATCACATTCAACTAGTGGACCTCATACATAAAACAGGGTTTACCATAATCCCCACGGTTGACATAGGATTTGGAGATTTCAAATTTAAAAAATTAGGTCATTTGAAAGTCAAAATCAAAACATTGATTTCTATTAAATCTTAAATGTACACTTTTGAAACGTCAAAAATTTAATTGTCCGTCCGTCTATCTGTCAGTGAAATTAGGCGCTCGTTTCAAAGTGAAGTTTCTAATGAAGAGGAACGATAAAGAAACTCCATTCACTCTGCTGCCCTGTCTTTATCCATTTCGTTTTTCATTGATTCATACCAATAAAACCACTTTATCTTGCCGTCTACATACTTTTAGGATGAAAATTGATAATAATATTCATGGTTTTGGTACAAATCGTAAAGCATATAGAACATTATCTTTTTCCGATTCTCTTCAACTTTTTGCCGTAACAAAGTCATTGGCCTGCACGATAAAAATTAAAATGTTGATTGTAAGTGTAACCCATCGTCCATCGTCACGCCATATAAAACGTATGACTCATATCAGTTGTAATGTTAGAATCTTTATCGACCATGTTCTATAAATATAGTCACACACTTTTAACATTCAATTGTACCTAAGTACTATTTATAGTAGGTAATAAGATTAAAATTAATTGAAAATGTGAGTGAACCGTTATTCACCATTAATTTATTATAACACAAAATTAGTTGACCGTTATGATAGAAATGTATGGGCAATGGGCATCGTTATTTAGATGTCATAAAAGGTGAGATTTTTTACAATAATTTTTAAGTGTGGGAGAGCCATACGTCACTGTTCGAAAACCAACGTGAAACAACGCTTGCGTTGTGTTTCGTCGTGTGAGTGAGCTTACCAGAGGCCCAATTACCCTGGCAGGTTTAGAATTCAGGGATTGCCGAGATTGGGGAAGGGCCCCAATCTCCCCAATCCCCGAATCCCCAACAATACTCAAATTCCTAATCCTCCAAAGGTCGGTAACAATCTTGTAACGCCTCTGTTGTTCCAGGTGTCAATGGGCGGCGCCGATTGCTTACCATCAGGTGATCCGTCTGCTCGATTACCGGCTTTACCTATTAAAAATAATATCATGTGACTTCGTAAATTAAAAAAAAACACTGGTTTAGTCACTTGAAATAATGAGAAAAGCTCTACTATTAAGCAGCGTGCACGGACGCTGCGACGTCGTCTCTTCGCCGTCGGAGTAGGCTGCGCGTGAGTAAACCAATATTTTAATTTTATATTACGAATTTACGATAAGTTTTAATAATGATAAAAATTATAATAAATTATTCTATACTCGCAATTCTCATCCACTCTGATGAGAATTGCGAGGGATAGGGAAAACTGGAAATCCTTGGAGGAGGCCTATGTCGAAGGACAAGCTGGGGATAAAACTACTGATGTATAGTATGGTGATATAGACTAAATTGTAAATTTGTAACCTCAGTAATAAAGGCTTATTTTATTTATTTTTATTTATTTTATTCTATACTAGTTCAATGTAAACGTACTACAATAATGAAGCATGAGCCGTGTAGAATTACGATTATACGTAGTCTCTGTATTGAAGATCAGTCCACTCTTGAAACGACGGTATGTTCGACGATCGTTATCATTATCATCAGTCCGAAGACTTACAATTGGATTTAAAGGAAGGAATCAGGTATAAATTAGTATAAACCTATTACTGTACACCGGACTCAATTCCGCATATGTGCTGTTATCAAGATTGATCAAAAGACAGGTGAAAGTAGTGAAACAAGTGAATTTATTTTTGCAAATAGGCTACAAGGCAGCAGTTTTACATGTCAATTTTATCAAACGAACGATGATTCCGACATTTCCTAACTGACTACTCTGAGAAGAAATGCCGAAACAAACTCAGATGTCCGTCTCTTTTTGAGACTGAAACCTCATTACCTATGTACCTAGTAATATGTATTGGGTACATTTATTGAATATGTCCTATATCCAATGGTCCTTGGTTTTACAGTCGCAGACGTTTTAAACAGTCCCCTATGTGCAGTCGATTAAAAATATCAATTTATAAACGAACTTGTATGTACAATCTTTATAACAAACCACAAACCAGGTACAGAAAACTGTTCTACTGGGTTATATCACTGGTCAATTAGTCCCTGCTATATAATTTGCTGCGATTAGATTGCGTCGATGTATATACCAACGTGGTGTGAAATCGTCTATGTGTTCTGTAGGCGTGTAACTGTACTGTTATTTAGACAGTAGCTACCATATTAAACACGTTCTTTTTCGCGTGAACGAGCGAAATCCCTTGATTTGGAACGAATGGTTCTGGACTGGACCAGTGTGGTACCATAGAAAACGATACCGGCGATACATTTAACTGTGCGAGTAAGTTAACGAAGGTCCAATGCTTCCATGCCCCAAAAGGTCGGCAATACATTTGGGACTCTTATTGAGTTGCAGTCGCCATTGAACAACACTGAGTGCTGACCATCATCAGGTAATCTGTCTGATATCCTACCTATAAAATAAAATAAAATGTGCTGACTGGCGTCTATGAGCTGTTATCACCTAGTTTACCGCACGTAGTGCGATATTACCACCTTCACGAACTGCAACCGACATTTACTACTATCGTATCATAAGTTTATAGTATTAAAGTACAACCATTAAACGTGTTCTATAGCAGTACCAATCAAAATAATCAAACTAATAGCCAGAAAGGTTGATATACACTAGTTTGGAAAACGCTCATTTGTACCTAGTAGAGTGTAGCCTGTGTTAATTGATTGTGCTTTAACAACTAACAAACTACAACTGTTTTCAAACATACTTTGTTTAAAAACTGTTGTAGAACCTCTACGGAATCATGCACAAAGCCACATTTATTGGACACTTCGCATTAAATTCGTACAATACAGGTTAGTGAGCTATTTGTAAGCGATAATCATGTGTCATATTGTGTTTATGGGTGACAAAGCATCGCAATTATTGATAAAATATTAGGAAATAATAGTGAAAAATAGTTCTAGTAGATAAGCAAAAATGTAATTGATCCGTGGATCATACACGAATCATATACAAATTTACAAATTTCAAACGATTATTGTGTTGTGTGCCTTTCTAAAAAAGATAGGACATACTTAAATTATGTAATTCGAAATGTTAAATAATTTAAAGTAAACTTAGTTTTCGTAATACTTGCGTATTCTTCTTCTGAAAAATAAAAGTCAGTTTATTAAAAAAACAACTAAAGGTTGTAAACGTTGTTTTGCAACAGTTGAAATGTTATTTAAACATCGGAAGTGCTTCTACTACATTCAATCGATAAAAGAAATTGGGTATCGTTGTTTTTAAAAGTTTGCAAACGTAACACAAGCAACTTGGAAAGTAACATTAATGTCAATATCGTTCGTTATGAATCTACAATATTTTATATAGAAAAGGAAATGGACAGAAAAACAATAATTAGCACAGTTTTATTAAAAGTTTTAATTTGTGTACGATTAAGTTGTTGCTACTACGTCACACGGGGAGCTTCATTCCTCGAGGACTCTCTGAATATTAGTTTGGACTCATATGAAATTGGTCAAAGAGATGAAAGTTTCAATGTCAACACGGTGGGCTGTATTATCCCATCCATCAATATTCGTGACGTTACAATACAAAATTACATACACAAAACAAACAAACGAGCAAAATTATGTTACAATTATAATACACGTTTGTTAGCGAGCAACCAAACACATATATGGGTGAAGAAATATAATTTTATTTACCATAATGTTGAGGACGAATCAAACTTTATGTGTTGTTATCAATCCTTCCATAAACCACTATCAGTTCCGAACACATCCTCCTACTTCATCGACAACATCCAATACTTAAGTTGCATATTGTTTCATGACATCATAGAAGTAAGTAATGAATTTGTTAAAGTGAACTGTTCCTATGAAAACGAAACAATATATGAACAATATTTTGTGTTTACACCGAAAAAAGATTTCACTTATACCAGACACAATCCGTTCAAACCTTGGCCTGCTAACAAAACAAATTACAATATTATCATGTTAGGAATGGGATCAATGTCAAGACAGAACTTTTATCGAACGATGCCTAAAACCCTCGGAATTCTGAAAAAACGGGATGCCATCGAACTAAAAGGTTACAATACTGTAGCTGGCGATACTTTTGAAAATATGATGCCTGTTCTCGTCGGCATGAACAATACAGAAATACAAACTACTTGTTGGAAAGATCCATGGTCTTCATTAGACAACTGTCCTTATATTTGGGAAAGATTTAAAGACGTGGGTTATTACACAGCTTTGGTGGAAGATACTTCAAAGTTAGGTATGTTTAATCAATGGAAGCGTGGCTTTCAAGGTAGCCCTACAGATTATTATTTACATCCATTTATACATGAAACCGAAACTTTGAATAAAAAAAATAGTATAAAGTATAAGAAATATGCAAAAGTAAATGAAATCCTATCACCTTGTATGGGAGACAAATATTACTACGAATTTCTTATAAACTATATCCGACGTCTAACTACAACTCTAGGTAAATCAAAATTATTTGGCCTCTTTTGGGAAACAACCATGAGTCATGATAATCTAAATGATCCTGCGTTAATGGATAAAGCGTATGGTCAGCTAATAAATAAGATGGAATCCACTGGCTACTTAAACGAAACAATATTAATCTTTTTGAGTGATCACGGTATGGACACTGGAAATATAGTTTTAACTAAACAAGGCCAAATTGAACAGAGACTACCATTTGTTTTCATTTTGATGCCACCATCATTCCGTACACAGTATAAACTAGCTTACCACAATCTAAACGTTAACAAAGAACGTCTAACGACGCCTTTTGATTTGCACGAAACATTGGTTGATCTCATCGACATGAGTGCCATTACTAAAACGGAGATATTGAAAAGAAACTCAGGATTTTATACGCACAATAGAGGTATTAGCCTTTTCTTGCCGATCCCCAAGAACAGGACATGTGACATGGCCGGTATTAGGGCCTTGTGGTGCGCTTGCTATAATGACGTGAATGTAGAACCAAATAGCCCAATACTTATGGATGCTGTTAGCTATTTTACAAATAAAACAAATGAGATGTTGAAGTCGTATCCGCAATGTCTGAAACTGATAGTAGACGATATTATTATAGCAAAAGAAATGATACCGATTTACACAAGATATAACGAATGGCGGGACTTTAATATGGTCGTGCGCATGGCGCCTGGAGGAGGTATGTTTGAGACGATTATGCGGTTTTACAATAACAGTTGGACTATCGTTGATCGTGTGAAACGGCTGAACTTCCCTGACTTTGGAACCATGTGTATCGAAGATGCCACTATAAAATTATTTTGTTTTTGTAAATAGTTATTAATTATATTTTAATCATTTGCTTATGTTTTACTTACATCTTTCTTATAATAAATCAATGAGATGTGTAATACACCCCTGAGAATTTATAAATAAACAATAGCTATAAAGCTCTCACTTTGCTGTTTAAAATAACAGGTTTGAGACTTCTATCTAACCTTGCAAATGCGTAAAGATGTAAAGAAGAAAACTAAATAGCTAAGTCTTTCGCGTTGATCTTTATGAGGTATCTAACAAGCACAAGATTTAGTCAATCGCCCTTGCTACACGTCTCATACAGCCTCGTCAGTTCGCCATCTCGCACCGTTGAGCATCCGCTTACACTTTTGCTCTTGTCATGTCCATACCACCTAAAGAGGCCGTTGGGGTGTTATTTTTTCTGAGGGGGAAGGCTTGTCTGAGGCGAGTGAGAGTGCCAGACCATTACTGACTAAAAACCACTGCGTTTCTACTCCTGCTTCAAACCACAGCTCCGGTGACGCTTTCTAGAGACCCTTGACTTGCGTTTTATTAGAATTTTTAATTTGGAAATCAACTTTCCAAACACTGGTGTGAAAGTAACTCATAACTTATGAGTCATAAGTCAAAATTACCTAATAGGTACCTATGTATTTTATTTATATTATGTATATTATAAATAGTTTGTATAGTATGTCGATATATTATGAAGTTTATCTTAGTTTTAACGTGGGTTAAAACTTGATAAACTTCACACGCGTATTGTTATAGTTAGTGTAACTACCGCCTTCGCTTTATTCGAAAGATGTAAGTACCTAGTCGAGTAACATTGGGTATTTCGAGTTCATAGTTTTTAGTACAAATGAATCTATTCAGTATAATAACGCCAGAATCTATAATGTATCATTATAAATATTTTCGGATGTTAGGTACTTGTAACGACAGGCAATAAGTACCTACTTGGATGTGCACAGATAGCAGCGTATCGCGGCTGAACTGTCAAGGGCCTCATAACTCCGCGGCACGATTAGGCGCATGCGCGCAGCCTCCGTCTCAGCCCCTCTGCTCCGTCTCCCCATGCGATACTTGGATCACTAGTGCTATCTTGCTTACATGTCTCACAGGGACTGTGCAACAAACTAACTTCATACTGAGTGATTTCCAGTCAGTATTGAAGCGAGTGCTGACCCCAGCCTCGTCTTCGACAGTGAGCACAATTTCGTGCGCTGCACAATGAGCAGTGAACCACTCATCCTACTGGCATTACAGTTATGAAACATGTGCGTATTGACGCAAGACCGCCGACACCACAGTGTCAAAACAAATTTGAATCAATCAGTGCAAGAGTAAATATTATTTTAATTAAAATGGTCGAGTGCACGTGTGTTGTAGTAACTTCATGTTCCATTGTTGCCACTTCGTATTTATCCGACGTTAAGTAAACTTCAAAGGTAAGAAATTATTTTTGACATTACTTTGTTTTGTTACGAAACTAATATAAATAAAAATTTACGTAAACCATTATATACAGTACACGGTATTTTCGAAATGAAGAAACTAAAATAAACAAACGTCTAAGGCAAACCTCTACGTACAAGTTTTAATCGATTTTTATTTTTAAACGGTTTTATTTAGCTTGCCTCATTTGGTTTGTTATTTATATCACTTATTTTTCAATCAACAGATAATTCTTAACTGTAGATTGAAATCGACATTTGACGGATTTTAGTCGGTAAGGGAGAATTGTGAAATATTCTAAATTATTCCTCCGATAAAATCTAGCGTTGGAGAAATCGGTTCTAAAACAAACAACTGCTAAATGTTATTCAATTCTAATTGTAATACAGGTGATTTGTTACTAAAATATGGGTTCTTGTCCGAATAGACACCCGTTGTTCGACAAAATTTTGTATTGAAATTATTTTATCATTCCGTTCTCTAAGACTTCCACAATGCTACCTATAGCAAATCTGCCCATCATCATTTGATGAATGCACAAATGTGTGGACAGTAGGCCTTACTCACGTGAAATTAAGCTTACAGTGACCACAGTCGACATTATAAAATGTCACATTTTATTTAATAACAATACTTTTAGGTTTCCAACTAGATACCAAAACAAGTCGTTTATTTTTCTTTTTATTAAGTTTTTTATTCAAGTTTATTTCTCCTATAGATTTACTCAGTTCTTAAAAAATACAGAACCCTCAGTGGTTGATCTTGACAACTCACATTTGTCCAGTCCAGAAATTTCGATAATTGAATATTAATTCAGTTATTATCCATACAATATTATAAATGCGAAAGTAACTCTGTTTGTCTGTCTGTCTGTTTGATACTCTTTCACGCCCAAACGGCTGAACGGATTTTGATGAAATTTGGTATGGTGATAGATGATAACCTAGAAATGGTCATAGGCTATAAATAATCACGCCATCTTTCTTAGGAGGCAGGCAGTAGTCAGATAATTAAATTGAGTCAGTGATTTTTAACGTGCGCCTTAACGGCTGAACGGATTTTGATGAAATTTGGTATGGTCATAGGCTATAAATAATTGGGCTCGCTGCCATCGCAGCGGTAAGTCCCCTCTTTGAGGAGTGGCTTGAGAGACGCTACGGCGTCCTCACCTACCGCCTGACGCAGGTCCTCACCGGACATGGAAGTTTCGGGAGGTACCTGTGTCTGATGGGGCGGGAGGAAACGCCCGGGTGTCATCACTGCGAGGACCGCCCTGAGGACACGGTGGAACACACGGTGGGAGAATGCCCTTCGTGGGCTGAGCGCCGCCGTGTCCTCAGGGAAGTGATCGGCGATGGCGACCTCTCGCGTCCGGGCCTAGTGCAGGCCATGATGCGGAGCGAGGGGGATTGGGATGCCGTCTCCTCCTTTTGCGAAGCAGTCATGCTAGCTAAGGAGGAGGCGGAGCGCGTGAGGGAACGAACCTCCTCACGACCCGGCCGTCGCGAGAGACACTCCGGGCGTCGGGGATCGCGAGACGATCTCCGGCCACCGTAAGCACGGGCCTGCGGACGGCGAGCACGGGTGACTCGCCGCCCGACCAGAACCAGGCCCGAGCGTACGGCGCGTCGCGTTCCGCGCGCGCCTCAAGGAGCCATCAGACCACCACAGATGGGGCCTAACAGGGCTGATGCCGATACGGAGCCGCGGAAGACTTAACGGGTTGCCGGGGCTCCGGCTCGAAGTGCAGGAGTAGGAACGGGGTGGTTTTTAGTCAGTAAGAGTCTGACACTCCCTCCCGCCTCACCCGGGCGGGAGAAGTCATTGGATGATTTTCCCCCCTCAAAAAAAAAAAAGGCTACTTTTTACGGTGCAGCAATGTAAATTATTAGTTTGGGATGAGTGTACTATGTCCCATAAAAGAGCAATTGAAGCTCTAGGTAGATGGGACTTTGAAAGATATCAAGAGTAATACAAATATCATGGGGGCACCGTATCGCAAGATTCAATAGAATAGATTTTATCACTAAAGCCTTACGGAAACAGGCACTGTACTGTTAAGATCTCTGTGGGATTATTTATTTTTTGAAACCACGATAAATCATTTTTCAGGCACTGAATTGATTCTGATGAATTCTGTCAGAAGTAATTAATCTACGCGGACGAAGTCGCGGGTAACAGCTAGTATAATATAAATTAATAAATGAAAATAATTCGGTTTATAATTTCTAACCCTAAGCGACATACAAACGTAGTAATTTATTCATAACTAGCGAACGTAGGCGTAGGCCTAGAATTTTTTTCTGCATATCTTTGTTATTCTTGTCTTTCACAAAAACCTTTACCCAACAAAAAAATAATTAACGAAATTGGTTCAGCTGTTTTCGGGATTTGCGCTTAACAATACATTCAGAGATTCATTTTCTATAAACGCAGTCCCTGAAGTCGACGATCAAATGGCACTAGATGATCGGCAAAGTTTCAAGAGTTATCAGAAAAATATAATAAAAATCTAAGTCATATAGCTTTTAAATTACAATGACTTATGTGTAATCCAGGAAAAAGTACATCCTGTGCTAGTCTTTTAACTTTTGCTGCTATAATTATTTATTTTTTCGTCTGTGTTTTCGCGTATGTTATCCCGAATAGTGCTCTAATATTATAGACTAATAAATTCTGAGCCATATGCTTTATTTTGCATAAGGATAAGGATATCATTTTTGTCGAACCAAATATTCTCAATAAACTTTTCGTCCTACTTTAAGTGAGTGTACTGAAAAAAAATTGCACTATACCTACTTACTTACTAGTGGCAAATTTCACTAAACTTGGCACATTTAATAAGGATTCTAAAAAGGTATAGCACTTCCTACATTATTTCTTAAATTCGACACAAAAAAAATATTTTTCCGAACCATTTATATTTGGACTTACTAAAAGTTATTCTAGTCTGCCCAAAGCGCACCTAATAACCTCGAATCCACTAGGTAATGCTTTACACACGACATGACATTATCATATTGCTAAACATGTTGGAAATGAGCGAGGATCTCTTGTTAAGCCACATTGTCTGTCTACACATGATTCACTCGCAGCGTTCGTCAGCAATATTGTTGCTAGAGGAACAAATATTATGGATCACATTTCACTAAAGACATTTGATGTTTAACACTATGTTGTATGGTAATGATTTATAGTAAAATTAAGCAGACACCCAGAGGCGCTGCGTCGGCGCGGCGCTGGTGGGTCGAACTTTGCCGATCACCTGGTGTCATTTGAGTGTGGACTTCAGGTACACCCTGTATATGAATAGCTTATAGCCAATCATAATTGCTAATCTTCAACTCAAATAAGTTCAATGGTTTTAAAGATATCCCCGTTTCCGGGGGATTATCGGAATGAAAACTGATATTTAAAAAAAAAAAAAAAAAATTAATGTGAAACAACAATTCCTAATCCCTAAAAGGCTGGTAACGCACTTGTAACACCTCTGGTGTTTCGGGTGCCCATGCTTACCATCAGGTAATCCGTCTGCTCGTTTACCGGCTTATTCCATAAAAAATACATCTTTTCCCAGGTGTCAGCCTATCGTTGTACTGAATTTCACTCAAATAGGCTCAGTGGTTTAAGCGTTAGAGAGTCCCGGAATTTTAATGCATTGTTCTTATCCCGTGGGAGTTCCGGGATAGAACAATCATACGTCCTTTCCAGTGCCAGTGTCTCAAACTCTCGTGGAACCGAATTTCAATCAAGTAGGTTCAGTGGTTTATAATATTGTATTCAACCTCTTTGCATACCTTAATGTTATATCATGATAGCAAAAAAAAATTGTCAATGATCTATTGGCATGAAACTCACTCACAAATTAGTATAGATAGAGTATAATTAGTATAGGGGTTCTCGTTCAAACGTTATTGTGCGTCCGGTACACTCGCTCGGCATTAAAACACGACAAAAGCGTTGTTTCCCGCCAGTTATCAAGCCGATCTGGAAATCGTTGGGGAAGCTAATGTGATAATGATGATAATATATTTATAAGAGACATTACATATACAGAATACGAGCTAATTTATAATTAACTAGCTTTTGCCTGCGACTTTGTCCGCGCAATAATAACATCAGAGAGAATTAAGATTTTTTTACTTCGTCACCTTTTCCAAGGCCTACTTCTATAGTTCTATGTATGATATTAAATTTCAATCAAGTCAGTACGTTAGTGTTCCTTTATTGTGAGATTCTAAAAGATTACGTGGTTCAAAATACAATGAAAGAAAAAGCATTTATTTGGCACTTGGCACACAAAACAAAGATTATAAAAAATAAAAAAATACAGATACTTACCTATATAAATACAAAATATTAATAATGAACTTCGAAGAGTTAAGAAAAGAACAAAAAACACCAAAGTATAACAAAATACATAAAATTATAGTTCAAGTTTTACGCACATTCGTACAATTTTCATTATAAAAAGGTGTAATATGTTTCACCTTAATATGCGTCGAGATTTATCTTTCACACGCAGTGTAGTCGGTTTTACCCGCACAGTTACCGTTCCTGTGAGATTTTCGGAATAAGAACTATTCTATGTCCTTTCTCGAATCTCAAACTATCAATGTACAGAATTTCAGTGAAATAGGGTCAGTGGTTTAAAAGAAATAGCGGCTTGGGATTTTAAAACAAATTTCCTGTGGGGTTTCCAGGATAAAACATTATTTCGTTTTGGAGAAAATGTAGAAATTATAATCAACGTTCAACTACGAATTTTCATTAAAACCCATAGTTAGGAGATCGTTTTATAGTGTAAGTAACACTATAAAATGGTCTCTATTGGAATATCTTTAATTGCGTATATACTTGTGACCAGCTTACAAATACAATATAAATAGTTTTTTTAAGGGGGAAAATCATCGAATGACTTCTCCCGCCTGGGTGACGCGGGAGGGAGTGTCAGACTCTTACTGACTAATAACCACCCCGTTCCTTCTCCTGCACGTCGAGCCGGAGCCCCGATTACCCGTTAGGTTCTCCGCGACACAATATAAATAGTAGATGCCTTCAGTTTTACATCAACTAAACAGATTTTTAATTACTTGTCAGGTATTTGTGTCAGGACAGAATAGGGACGTAAGGATATTTCTACAATATTTGCCTAAATTTTAATCACTATTCATCCTAATTAAACATAAAAACACCAATGTTTTTCACGATGTTTTGTATGCCATTGTAACATAATGACAGTTCTTAGTCTTACGGTTTTTAGTGTCGGTCATCAGTGCGTAATTTTTAATCAACTCAAATATTGCGTGTATTGGAATAAGTTGTAAAATATTGAAAATTATAAATTCCTTTTTCTAGTAATTATTCGATCACATAAATATAATGAAATAATACAACTCCTTCTATCCCCGAAGGGGTAGGCAGAGCAGTACAATGTAAAGAAACACCCACTTTTCACCATTTATATTTTGAGTCCCATGTAATAGATTATAATATAAATGGTGAGAGACTAAACATCCTCTAGGATAGGGCTATTGCTATACACCGGGCAGATTTTTTTTAAACCCAGTTATATAAATAATGAAATACTGATATTGATACCCAAACAGTGAAGCACATCATAACCGTCGGAAATATTTGTAACTATTTTATTTATATTCACTTTTATCGGCGACAGTTTTGTTTTATTAATATTATACATTAATACATAATTTTAATTCATTCGGTTAAGTAAAATAATTCTATTATATTGTAAAATAAGTTATGTAACAACCATAGTAATAAACACAGCATTTACTAGCGACATCTATAGGTACAGCATACCGCACGCTATCGTAAACTGTAGTTCCGTCACACGACCATAGATAGAGCTGTAGCGTGATGTCATAAATTACATCGCGGTGTTAAGATTCTCCGTGAGTTAATAACCCCTTGCGTGTTCATTGCATATTGTAAGACTTATCTAAAGTTGCATTCTTGGATCACGTCCTAATTGGAATGATCACTTGAGACAATTCTAGCTAAGTTAACTGAAATACGACCTCTGTCAATTTTTGTTGTTCCGAAAAAGGCACAGTTCTGCCTTTCGTCCTCTCGGGATAAGGTGGTTACGGAATTGTCCTATTATATTTCAATCGTAATAAACGCCGTTTGTTTACTTTGCCGGTCGGTGAAGTCAGCCCCAACCCCCTACTCTACAGTTATCTATTTATTTTCAATTAATTTTAAATCGAGGCAGAAACAGAATGTTTATATTGTTTCAATCGAACTTGACAATATCCTAAGCAAAATAATTATCGCTGTCCCACCCACCGCACTTAAAAAAAGTAAATAGATATTTCCGGCCGCCGTAAGCACGGGCCTACGGATGGTGGAAACTCACCGTCCGACCAGAACCAGGCCCGAGCGTACGGCGCGTCGCGTTCCGTACGCGCCTCAATGAGCCATCATAAATAGGCCCAATAGGACTGATGCCGACACGGAGCCGCGGAGCAATTAACGGGTTGCCAGGGCTCCGGTTCGAAGTGCAGGACTGACACTCCCTCTCGCCTCACCCGGGCGACAGAAGTCATTGGATGATTTTCCCCACTTAAATAAAAAGCCCCTTAAGTTGGCTGAATTCTGTATTAATTCAAAATAAAATAACAGTATGTAAAAAACAGACCAGATAATAAACAAAATGTTATATTAATGTGCACCTCTGCCTACTCCTTCGGGGATAAAAGGCGTGATGTGATGTTATGTTATATTACTGTTTTACTTCTTAAATAATAATAATACTTTTACGATGATTTAATGTCTAACTTCACTTCCCTCCTAAAGGTGTATTCAGGCACTTCAGCCAGCATTGGTCCAGTATGATGATAAGTTCTCTGTCGGGTGTGACTTGAGGGCGTTCTTCAAGGCGACGTTCTTTCCCCACATTTTTTCTCTATTTTTATCAACCTCATTACTCCTGAACTTCAGTGAGCGTAGCATTTGTATGCGGACAACTTGCAACTGTACCGCCAATCGGGGGTACCTGACAATGCCCGGGGCTAATAAACATAATAAACATAATCGTGATCTAACAGCTGTTAAAATTAGTTGGGGACTGTGAATTCAGTCAGGACGTGAAGAGCCTGGGCCTGATTATTGATAGCACATTGAGATGGCGTGCTCAGGTCAACAGTGCAAGGTGAACAATAAGAAGCGATTTTTCGAAATTCGAAAAATCGCTTCTTATTGTTCACCTACGTCGTACAAAGAACGCTTCCTCAAAAATTCAGAATTTTCCGATGAGCGGTTTGGGCTCCAGCGTGATTCCTAGATTTCCAGTTCAGTACAAAGCCTTTTATACCTCTATATAGATTCTTAAATAGATAGAGCGTCACCATACAATAGCAACAAAAATGATGTTACAAAATTTCTTGCATGTGTGCGTACGGCATGTAGTTAACACGGTGCAAAAATGATACCAGCTACGACAAAAAATTCTCCCATAACTATTTCAGTACATGTACCAGACCATTCAGAAGTACCTAAAGTAAAAAAAGACTCAAATAAGTATCTACAGATGAAAATTTTTATATTTCAGAATGGCTCAGCTGGCAAAGGGCAACAACAACAGGCTGCGGTCGATTCCAGCGCAATTTCGATTCTTCTTCTTATTCACAATGGTGTTCGGCAGCAGTTTTATTATATTTTCCCTCATTAATCGAACAGAAATATTTATTATCAACAACGAGCAATTGAAGTCATCTTTAGATTTAAATCATTACGATATTGAACAAGAAGCAAGTTACACAATCAAGACAGAAGGCTGTACAATTCCAGGCCTAACAGCATTAGATGATACCATCAAAGAATTTAATAGGCCTCCAACAAAGTTGAAAAGTTGTCCCAATGCTAACTATTCCCTCGTCCAAAGCAACGAAACACATATTTGGATCAATGTGGAACTTTTAGAATATTACGATGGATCCAAAGAAGCAAATATATCTTGTTGTTACCAATCTTTTTACAGACCAAACTCAATCAACGATGTTTACTCTATACACGTGGACGACAGAGCGCTTTATAGTGACTGCAAATATTTTTCTAACAATATTCAAGTAAAACATGAATTTGTTAGAGTTACCTGCAACTATGATAGTAAAAGAATATACAAACAGTACTTTCTGTTTGCACGAAAAATACACGATCATAAAAAGAAGCAGAATATCTCTAATAAAAATGAATCCGAATATTATAATGTTATTGTAATGGGTATGGATTCCATATCAAGATTAAATTTTTATAGAACCATGCCAAAAACTTTAGCCTACCTTAAGGATAAAGGTGCTATAGAACTACTAGGTTACAACAAAGTGGACGACAATACATTTCCAAACTTAACACCTATGCTACTTGGTATCAAAGAAACTGATTTAAAGAGAACTTGTTGGCCAAATAAGAATGCAAACTTTGATAACTGTCCATTTATCTGGCAGTGGTTTAAAGAAGCTGGATTCCAGACGGCTTTAGGAGAAGATAGTGCAAAATTAGGAACTTTTAATTTTCTCAGACATGGGTTTATCAAAACACCCACGGATTACTATATTAGAACTTTTATTTACGAAGCCGAAAAAAATGTTGGAAACACTTTGGATTTCAATTCATATATCTGCATGGGCAGCAAATACTTTTACAAAGTGTTGCTTGATTATATTCAAGACTTAACAGGTCTATTAAAGAATTCTAAATTGTTTGGATTTTTCTGGGAGGTGTCTATGAGTCATGACTACTTAACTTATCCCATGGCAATGGATGCTAGCTATGAAAGCTTTTTGAAAAGACTTAATAGTGATAATTATTTAGATAAAACTGTTCTAATATTACTAAGTGATCATGGAATGAGATGGGGTACCATAAGATTAACGAAACAAGGACGGTTAGAAGAACGTCTACCCTTTGTACATATATTGTTACCGCCTTCGTTTAAAAAAAACTACAATTTGGCTTATAAGAACTTAAAAATAAACAGCAAGCGACTAACAACACCATACGACATATATGCAACTCTGTCTGATCTCATAACACTAGAAGCAATCAAAGATGAAAATATAAAACAACGAACTGAATCATTTTATGCTCATAAAAAAAGTGTTAGTCTGTTTTTACCGATACCTGGAAATCGAACCTGCTCGATAGCTGGCATCGATGATCAATGGTGTACTTGTCACAAAAGTATAAAGATATCAAAAGAAAGTTTCGAAGCCCACGATGTAGCCGAGGAACTAGTAAAAAGTTTGAATAATTATTTAGAAGAACATGAGGAATGTGCGAAGCTTACACTTTCCAAAGTGTTGGACGTCACCGAGATGATGGTCGGGGAGCCGAGGAAGAACGAAGTGGGGTGGCGCGAGTTCATGGCAGTGGTTCGGACGACACCAGGCGACGGCGTGTTCGAGGGCACGTTGCGCAAGCACAAGGACAAGTGGAGCCTCGCCGGTGCCATCAGCCGGCTCAACCTATACGGGAACCAGAGCCACTGCGTGCACCACTACCAGCTCAAGTTGTATTGCTACTGTCGATGAATGCCAAACATTTTATTATTTATAAAAACTAGTATTGAAAACTGTGATATTACTAAATGTTTTGTGTAGTAACATAGTTATATGTCGAGAAATATATATTTGAATTGTGTAGATACTTAAAAGGATATTGATGCATGTCCATATCCAGGCCTAAATTATATTATCTGCGTATATCTACGGCGTAGTTTGTTAAGGAACGTGATTCGTTTGTACATATGTAGGTATAAGTTGGTTGCAGAATATTTTTGACTAGATTATGACACTATTGTTATGATACATATCTTTCTTTACAATTACATATCTCTGATGATATCTTGATGTTAAGTTAAGTACTCTCCTAAAGTAAGTTCTACATAATTATACATACAATAAGTAAATAGGTACCCATACAATAACACATATTTAAAATTGTTTTTATAATTACTATCGTGAGACATACTAAATTAACTAAAAATGGCCGGCTACTCACGTGAATATAGTAACGCGCAGTAGGCTGCGCGACATCGACGCGACCGCGCACGCTGCTCATGAGGAAGAACCCCTCTGTGGTTCGAAACTAGTAGAGCTTTTGTCAGTATATTCACGTGAGTAACCCACTAGTTTTAGTTGATATTTATAATTTTTAAGTTAAACATTATCATCAACAACAAAAAGTTGACAAGATCTATTTTTCTCTTCACCTGTAGGTGCAACAAAGACCGATTTGATCTAATCTTAATTTATATATATGTAATAGACAAAACTATATTTTTATATGTAAAATAAAATATATTGTTTATGTTACAATTTTGAAAAGCTTTATCAACGAACATTTTGTGATCAGTTGTGAAGGTGCCATCGGAGTGAAAGGTTACAATTTGTTTACGAGTATTAAACCTATTTACCAATGTAGTGCTACTTTAAATTGAAACATTGGTCAATGGTCAAAAGTCCACTGCCACCATAAGACTACTATCGGTTGCGCTGCAGCGCTTATACACACATGCAGACGCATATTTTATCCGTGTGTGTACGCGTTCGTGTGTTTATGCGCACGCACGCGTTTTTATGCACATTAATTTGATATTATTTACGCATTGCCGTGTGAACATCACTCACGGTGGCAGTGGACTTTTGACCTTTGACTGTACATTGCAGCCTGTCATGCCATTACTGACTTATTGCAATTTCCTAAGATTATGTATATTTAATTAAGTGTATACCACATAAGTACCTATGTTTATTTCACTCCGAAAAAGATATCTTTTAACTCGTTAACTACCTAAATAAATAATCAATTTCAATTAAAATTCTTTGGGTTGCCCTTAATTTTTCACACATCATAAATCTATATTATTCCAAAGATTTTTAATTGATATCGGTTATATAACTTTTACAAAAACAGCTTCATTGTATCTATCACCTAAGGTAAGGTTATGTATTAAGGAGTATATACGATATAGATTTGAGAATAATCGCATACCACTACGATCAAAAGTGTGACAGTGTAGGTAAAGGTGTGTGTACAGTTGTGATCACAGGTTGTGATCTACAATATTTGTTCCTCTAACCACAATATTGCCGACGAATGCTGCGAGTGAATCATGAGTAGACAGACAATGTGGCTTAACAAGAGATCCTCGCTCATTTCCATCATGTTTAGCAACATGACGATGTTATGTTGCGTACAAAGTGTTACCTAGTGGATATGAGGGGTTTAGGTTAGGTTAGCGCTTTTGGCAGGTTTGGTTGCGCCTACACTATAATAAATTTTAGTAAGTCCAAATACATACATACATAACTTCACGCCTGTCTCCCATGGGGATATGCAGAGACTAGGGAACGCCAATTACTATAATTCCTACATACCTATTTCGCTTTATCAACAGTCAAGTCAACATCAATCTTTTGATGCATGCTCGTCGGTTAAGGGTACTTTTTAATTGGCCCTTCTTCAATATATAATAAGTCCAAATAAATTATTCGAAACGGGGTTTCGTTGAAAAATATTTATTTGTGTGGAATTTAAGAAATACTGTAGGGGGCGGAATACTTTTTAGAATCCTTATTAAATGCGATATTGTTGATGAAATTTACTACTACTAGAACAGTCAATTTTTTTCAGCACCTACAGTCATTTAAAGTAGAATGAAAAGTTTATTGTGAACACTTGGTTCGTCAAAGAATGGTATTGTTTTCCAAACTAAATCAGTTGGACTAGAATGTATTATTCCATAATACTGAAGCACTATTTATGATAACGTAAGCAAAAATACAGACGAAAAAATAAAGGATTGAAGAGTCAAAAGACTGGTACAGGTGTACTTTTGAGGATAACACATAAATTCATTGTAATTAAAAAACTATATGACTTGGATTTTTTTTTCTATATTTTTCTGATGACTGTTGAAACTTTGCAGATAACCTGGTGCCATTTGATTGTCGACTTTAGTAACACCATGTATATCATTGAATTATTGTTTTGAGTCTGACTAGACCCCTTGGTGGTGTTTCGCAATATCACCACATACATATTAATTTACTGAAATGATGATCGAAATCAATTAGATCAATAAGAGATTTATTATTTACTAATTTAGGGCATATCTTTCATGGTACTTAATTAGGTGCTGCACAAAAACATTACAATATCATTGAAAAGGTTCATTAGATTTGTGTTAAAATACATATTACCTAGTCTATGAATACTTTTCTACTATACCTACTTCAAGTCTCCCGCGGAACAGCTAGGTTAAATATAATAATGGACTTAATTGGATACTAAAATAATTAATTGTTTAGTTTACGGGGACTTTCCTTAATTTGAACCTACAGTACCTACATATTTGTACAATATTTATAGTTATGTACTCAATGTATTGTAATTAGGCATATTTTGACAGGTTTTTGATGTGTAGGTACTTAAATAGGGTAGTTTCGTAAATTTTATTTTAATGTCCGTCTAGTACATTAATTTAGAATTTTAGACACGTATTTTTTCTTTTCTCACAAAATTAAATACTTTCGACGATATATTAATTTGAAATATCGTATGACGTCACAGCGTGCCACATTTTGTAGCACTCCTAAACTTAGCGCCATTTTATCTAAGAATTGCAACTTAATACGATAAAATAAAAAATACGTGTCTAATATTTTTTCATTATCTAACTGACGGACTAATTAGATTCTTAATTTTGATACCCTGGAAACTACCCAATTGTAAAGGTCTCAAAAAAATTCGGGTAGTCAACAAGTAAACATTAAAATTGCGAAGCTCTGGTTTATAAATTATTTTAAAATAATTACACTTATATTTGTATTGTTTTGATGTGTTGAATTAAATAGTAATCAGTGCCACCTGCCTGCCAAGTGTTTTCAACCAGTTACAGAAGCATTATATGTCACTTAACCCTATACATAACTTGCACTTGGTTATATCATGGAAGAGGTCCCACGTCTAGTGTCTGAGATGACCAGCATGTTTAAAAAACGCATGGCTGACTTCGAGCGGCAGCAGAGAGATAACGCAGGCGTAGCAAATGAAGCCACACCAGTGCTCTCAGCAGAGTTCACAGCGTTCCGGAGCTTTATTATGCAGTTTCTCTGTGTATTCCAACAGCAAGTGAGCTTCATGGTGCAGAGTATGGACGATATGCAGATGCGCAGCCGGCGTAAAATACTTCTTCTGCATGGTGTGCCTGAGTCAGATGCAAAGGAGGAAGATACTAAGCAAGTGGTGGTAAAAGTTGTCAAGGACCGCCTTAAGCTTGATATAAAACCAACAGACGTCAAGCGGTGCCACCGTATGGGGCGAACCTCACAAAAGGCTCGACCCATCTTGCTCAAGCTGCATGATGTGGCTCTCCGCGATAACATCTGGCGTGGCAAAACAAAGTGCAAGGGCTCGGGTGTTACAATCTCGGAGTTCTTGACAAAGACCCGACACAGCGTCTTTATGGAGGCTCGGGAGAAGTTCGGCGTCAGTCAGTGCTGGACGAGGGAAGGCATTATATTTGTCCTTGACTCAAAAGGTGTTCGACATCGATTGACTTCCAGGAACGACCTCGATACTATCGTTCTCCAACAACCTGAGCAAGGTGCTGCTGAACCTGTCGTTGCAGCTACTGGAAAGGTGGTGCCCAAGGCAAGGCGTGCAGCATCTCGAAAATAAGTATTTTCTTTAGTTACATTTTCTTGATTTTCTGTAGGTAGTCTGGGTAAATTAGTTGCTTTTATTAAATGGTATTAATTGTCGTATCACCTTCACTTTAACTTTATGTATTTTCTAACTTGTACTCAGATACGGTAGTAGTATTATTTTATTTATTTACATGTAATTTTTGTTTTCGTAACTCATACTACTATCATTGTCACTCATGTCATCCGTCACTGTCATGCAGATTATAAACTTATTTTTGGTCATAATTTTTTTTTTTTTCTTTCTACTCTTTGATTCATTGTGGTCCATAGATTTCATAGATGTTTATAAAGATTTTCATACAACTGTCATTGGTACTTAGCAGCGTTTCGTTCCACGTACTGCATGCGCTCGCAACATGTAATGTTAATAATTTTTTTTGTAACTCATTATATTATGTACTTATTTTTATTAGTCTTTACATTTCATGTTGTTTTTGTTTATATTTATTTATTTGTATTTTTATTTTTTATTTTATTTTGCTTTTCTACTGTTTTGTTATCTAATTTTTGTGATGTCGTAATGCTGTGATGACGTGACATTTTTGTTTTTGTTGTTTGTTTTTTATTTATTTTTTTCTCTCAGGCTAACTGGCAGGTGGAGTGCAGAAATTGAACACCAACCTTAGACATATTTATTATTTTATATTTTGAACTTGTTTTATTCTATTATTATTATTACTTATATATATACATATCTATATATATAATATACATATATTACTTCATAATACATTATTAGGTACATACATAAATTACACAGCCATGTTTAACTCTAGTATCAGCGATGAATCAGATACGTATTTATCATTAACTTCAGATGATGAAAGTATCTGTAGTTTGCCGCCCTTAAATGAAACACTCGCGTCTGTGTTTTCTGATGCATCTCCGAACTTCAATGTGGTCCACATTAACGCCCAGAGCATTCCGGCTCATTACACTGATATGCTGGCTATTTTCGATTGTGCGTATATTCATGCTATTCTGGTGTCAGAATCGTGGCTGAAACCTTGTCTCCCTTCTTCCTCTTACTCTCTTCCGGGGTTTAATTTGATAAGGAATGACCGTGCGGTTGGGGGTGGGGGTGGTGTGGCCATATATCTCCGCAACAATATTTCCTTTACTGTCCTGAATATGTCCGCGCAGCCTCCTCCTCAGAGTGCTGGTGAACACCTCTTTCTGGAGGTCGAGTTGCACCGCTCTAAAATTCTTCTTGGCGTGTATTACTGTC